TTCACGGAGTCTGTTACTGTGGTAACTGATCGCGAGGTTGAGTTACCTCTCTTTGTGAAACAGGTTAGAGTTACCCCTCTCTCCCTGGTTTAACTAACCCTCCTTTGTGAAACGGAAAACTCAGAGTTTCCCTGATTTCAGGGTTAACAAACTCGGAGTTTCCATTAAACCTGCTACGTGAAAAGGACCCCTGGGGCCAGTTCTACGAAGCAGGTTCAACCTAGCGAGGTAGCCTTGGAGCTACCTCGCTCAACTTAGCGCGGTAGCCAGCGGTCTCGCTAAGCGGTTTTAAGACGCTGGTTATCAACCTCATAAGTGGATCCAGCTCTGCTATGAGCGCGTGCACACATATAAGGCGGAGCCCGCCGCATCTGACCAATCGCGAACATGGATCAGTCTGGAGCGTCAGAGCAGGCCGGAGAGTGAAGGACCGCAGACTTTACAAACGAGGAACAGGAGACGATCATGAGAAAGTATGAAGAATTGAAAGCTATCACAAACATCAAAAGCAACACCGTCGCCGCTGCAAAAGCACGGAGGGAATGCTGGCAGAAAAGTAATCTTTGATGCCATTATCACCCTGAAATAGCACTGTTCAACATGCGCTTTTAACTAAGGTGACAGTCCCCGAATTGGATGATCTGTCCCCGGCTAAAGCTGTCCCCGAAAATGTCCCTGATTTAAGCGTTTCATGAATGAGAACAAAAATGTTGCATGTGGGCTCGAACAACGGTTGTTACAGTGGGTAGGAAGCACAAGTAAGCAGTCCTGGGGCCTGTTCTACGAAGCAGGATTACTGCTTAGCGAGGTAACTTTGAGGATAAGTTTGGGGTTTCCTGTTCTACGACGCGGGTTCACTTCTTAGCGAGGCGAGTCTTCATAGCAATATACGCTGAACGGCTAACCTGCTCCGGGGCAGGTTAAGTTCCAGATTGAACTCACCGAGTATAAAAACCCCGCCCACTGACCAATGAGCTCTCTCGAAAAACGGCTTGTCCGTTCTTGGAGGATCCTGTAGACCTCGGTGGTCGCATTGTCCGAGGAGGAGCACTCCGGCTCGCGAGAGTTTTCAGGGAGAGTTTTCTCCGGATGACCACCTTTATCGAAGGCTCATATGGCCGACATATTACACAAAACATGTAAACACGATAGGAATGAACAAATGAATGATTCATCTTGGGAATGAATGGGCATGGGCTGCGCGATCACAGACAACATCTCGGTACTATTTAGTAGCAGCGCACCCACCTTATAATAACCCCGTAAATACTGTTGTTCAGGACTGCTTACTTGTGCTTCCTACAAGAGAACATTTTTGTTCTCATTCATACGAGAACATTTTTGTTCTCATTCATGAAACGCTTAAATCAGGGACATTTTCCGGGACAGCTTTAGCCGGGGACAGATCATCCAATTAGGGAACTGTCACCTTAGTTAAAAGCGCATGTTGAACAGTGCTATTTCAGGGTGATAATGGCATCAAAGATTACTTTTCTGCCAGCGTCCCCTCCGTGCTTTTGCAGCGGCGACGGTGTTGCTCTTGAGGTTTATGGTAGCTTTCAATTCTTCATACTTTCTCATGATCGTCTCCTGTTCCTCTTTTGTAAAGTCCGCGGTCCTTCACTCTCCGTCCTGCTCTGACGCTCCAGACTGGTCCATGTTCGTGATTGGTCAGATGCGGCAGGCTCCGCCTTGTATGTGTGCACGCGCTCATAGCAGAGCTGGATCCACTTATGAGGTTGATAACCAGCGTCGTAAAACCGTGTAGCAAGACCGCTGGCTACCGCGCTAAGTTGAGCGAGGTAGCTCCAAGGCTACCTCGCTAAGTTGAACCTGCTTCGTAGAACAGGCCCCTGAACAACAGTATTTACGGGGTTATTATAAGGGGCATGTGCTGCAACTAAATAGTACCGAGATGTTGTCTGTGATCGCGCAGCCCATTCATTCCCAAGACGAATCATTCATTTGTTCATTCCTATCGTTTTTACATGTTTTGTGTAATATGTTGGCCATATGAGCCTTTCATAAAGGTGGTCATCCGGAGAAAACTCTCCCGTAAACTCTCGTGAGCCAGAGTGCTCCTCGGACAATGCGAGCACTGAGGTCTACAGGATCCTCCGAGAACGGACAAGCCGTTTTTCGAGAGAGCTCATTGGTCAGTGGGCGGGGTTTTTATACTCTTTGAGTTCAATCTGGAACTTAACCTGCCCCGGAGCAGGTTAGCCGTTCAGCGTATATTGCTATGGAGACTCGCCTCTCTAAGAAGTGAACCCGCGTCGTAGAACAGGAAACCCCGAACTTATCCTCGAAGTTACCTCGCTAAGCAGTAATCCTGCTTCGTAGAAGCAGGTTCAACCTAGCGAGGTAGCCTTGGGGCTACCTTGCTCAACTTAGCGCGGTAGCCAGCGGTCTCGCTAAGCGGTTTCACGACACTGGTTATCAACCTCATAAGTGGATCCAGCTCTGCTATGAGCGCGTGCACACATATAAGGCGGAGCCCGCCGCATCTGACCAATCGCGAACATGGATCAGTCTGGAGCGTCAGAGCAGGCTGGAGAGTGAAGGACCGCGGACTTTACAAAAGAGGAACAGGAGACGATCATGAGAAAGTATGAAGAATTGAAAGCTATCACAAACCTCAAAAGCAACACCGTCGCCGCTGCAAAAGCACGGAGGGAATGCTGGCAGAAAAGTAATCTTTGATGCCATTATCACCCTGAAAAACACTGTTCAACATGCGCTTTTAACTAAGGTGACAGTCCCCATTTGGATGATCTGTCCCCGGCTAAAGCTGTCCCCGAAAATGTCCGGGATTTAAGCGTTTCATGAATGAGAACAAAAATGTTGCATGTGGGCAAGAACAACGGTTATTACAGTGGGTAGGAAGCACCAGTAAGCAGTCCTGAACAACAGTATTTACGGGGTTATTATAAGGGGCGTGCGCTGCTACTAAATAGTACCGAGATGTTGTCTGTGATCGCGCAGCCCATGCCCATTCATTCCCAAGATGAATCATTCATTTGTTCATTCCTATCGTGTTTACATGTTTTGTGTAATATGTCGGCCATATGAGCCTTTCATAAAGGTGGTCATCCGAAGAAAACTCTCCCTGAAAACTCTCGCGAGCCGGAGTGCTCCTCCTCGGACAATGCGACCACCGAGGTCTACAGGATCCTCCAAGAACGGACAAGCCGTTTTTCGAGAGAGCTCATTGGTCAGTGGGCGGGGTTTTTATACTCGGTGAGTTCAATCTGGAACTTAACCTGCCCCGGAGCAGGTTAGCCGTTCAGCGTATACTGCTATGGAGACTCGCCTCGCTAAGAAGTGAACCCGCATCGTAGAACAGGAAACCCCGAACTTATCCTCAAAGTTACCTCGCTAAGCAGTAATCCTGCTTCGTAGAACAGGCCCCAGGTCACCAGATTTGAGAGAGGATAATGCAGATGCATTATCAAACACATCTGAGGTGATGATAGGCCCTTTCCTTGGGGAACCTTTGGCTAGTCAGCTAGATGATACCATCTTGCAGTTTGAAGTACATGATCTCATTTTTATGTTCTTATGGACAGAGATTTTCCAAAAGGCTATATATAGCAAATTAAAAGCACCAAGTACCCAGAAATGCAAAACAAAACATGATAGTACTGATTTTGATATTTTCCTCACAAATAAATATATGTTCAAAGCTAATTGAGGCATCACTTAACAATATGTAGCCCTGCCTTAATGCTCCCTAATGGAGTAACTTCAGTTCTTCAGTATGTATGCTCGCAAGAAGAGGTACAGCTCTATAGCTTCATCTGCTGTATGGGTGAGAGTAAGAAGTTCTCTGCCATTATGAGGCAACATAAGCTGAATACTGTTTCAACACAAACATATTCTTTTCTTCATAATGTTCATGTCGAGATGAGGGCCAAAAAAACATAGGCTAAAAAATGTAGGAAGCAGCCATAGCCTACTATATGGCCAAAACAAAGTGGAGTTGGTCAGTATTGTTACAATAATTGTGTGACTTTGGCAACAGCATTGTGATGTGACAGAAAGTATACATGCGCCTGAGCGCGCGCACACGCACCCTGCATGGACAGAATGGAAACAGATTTACCTTGATGTTCAGACAAGCAGCTTGTCCAAGAAGTCTCCAGAGAAACAGTCATTGTCTTTCAATTCCTGCAGACGGTTCATCTAGTTCTGGGCATGATGTGTTCTCAGAAAATCCCACCAGCTTTCACTCCGCTGGTTTTATTGCTTGACCCAGAAATGTAACAGTTATTGACGTGCCTGCGATCAACACTCCATCGTAAGAATCTCTGCATCTCTGCCATCGTGACATTTTCTGTCCCCAAATCTGCTTGGATTTTGGCTGCTGTCCCCATCCTCTTCTTGACTTCTGCTATGAAACAACCAGTGATTGTCTTTGGGTTGCTGTTTGTTGAGTATGCATGAAGCCATATTATAAGTCTCGAAAAGCCATCAATGGCTCCATTTATACATATTCCAAATGATTTTAATTTGTCATATGAGTCAGCGTGACACATAAAATTAGGCCCCGGGTTCATGTATATGCACCGCATCAATCGATGTCTCCGTCTTTGTTCTTCACCACGGGGGTCAAGAAACTTCAGCAAATGCCTCACTGTACTTTGAGTGACAACAGATCCGGCTTGAATACAATTTAGATGGTGCAACTTGTATCCATGGAGCCTTCCGTGTCCCCCAAGCTGATCATTAAGAAATGCTGCCATGCAGCTCCAAAGGGTCAGGCTGATTTTTCCGTCAATTCCTTTTAAAATCCTTCTTAGTGTGCGCATACTAATCACTATGCCATCCACCATGTTCAATAATGAAAGAATCTCGCCAGGGCCTCAACCATTAAGTAAAACTTGATCAGATCATTTAAATGAGCCATTTTACATACAAAAAGTTGACCATTCACCCTTTAACTAGTCAGTTACTAATAACCACAAGAAGATAGAGACACTCCTTGAAGTGAATAAAAATAACACACAAAAATCTAACATTTTATTTCACATATGGCACGGGTATTTATTTAATCAAGCATTTTTTTTTACAGCTCAACGACTGGCTATACCTGCCTTTAATTATTACCAAACTATAAAACCTTTAATTATGGCATTTTTATGACTTGCTGCATACATTAGTGGTATATTTATACATGATATTAACTCACACATTGCTATGCTGTTATCTGCAGGTATTTTCAGATTAAACATAAAAAAGTGATCAGTGAATTGAGACAGAAAATGTTGTGACCAAGTTGCAGAACTAGCGTCAAACATAAAATGTCAAACTAAAAGCCTGCCCAAACAACACAGTCACTCTATGTGAATATTACTCAGAAGAGGAAAAAAAACAAATGGAGCTGTATATATTGAGTACAAACCAGTTAACAACAAACAAAAAATAGGTCACTTTAAGAATAGTTCTATATTTAAGGTATTCATTAATTGCTTGTATCTTGTAGTGGCAGTAAAAAGCATTGAGACTTTTAAATGCTCCCTGTATGTACAGCAAAGAGATAACTCTCATGCAAAATAAGGAAGTGTACAAATCTTTAAACCATGATCTGCAAGTGTACCAAAAAGGTGTTTAACCTCAAACAAACATCCCTTTCCTTTTATAAACCATATATCGAACCCTACTGGTGAGCACTAACAATATTCTGGGGACAAAAAGTGCAGTTAGACTACCCTTGGATGGTTACACGAAGACAGCACATACATCTATCTGTGAAGTGATTAAACTACAGATCTGTGTGTAATATTACAATTTGTACAGCTCCCATTTATCCAAAAGGCTCTGCTCGAACCATAAAGTTTAATCCAATTTGTGAAAACTTTCAACTTTGAAGTCACTAAATTCTTTTGCTGCATGTGGCAGATTAATCAAATTAGAATAGAACAAAAGTAATGCCATTCAAGCTGTCTATGTGTGCCATTTACATGTTTACTTTAGTTCACAACAAAAGAAAACTTGTGCTGGACTATTTGGAGATGAATGAACTAGGCCTTCCTGTTTTGTTTTGTTTTTATCTGCAGGTGATGTTTGTTATATTGTGTGTCCTCAATTGAGCCTCAGCATAAGATTCTTGACATGCCAGTCTTTCCTTTTCTTTAATATTCCTCTGAAAGTATAAGAGTTGTTTGCATTCTTGTTCACATTTGTCTTGTGCTGATTGTCACCTGTACACCAGCCACAAATCCAGCAATGACTTTTAATGTTATTTTGGGTATTTTGAATAATTATTCAGCTATTTTCAGTTTCCTTTAAATATGTTTATGCCCCTTCTCTAGATGACTGTAAACAAAAATTAATATCCATAATAAATCCCTCCCTAGGTTCCTATTCTGATACAGCCGTTTCAAAAGGGTTGTTAGGAGTTAGACAATTTCTACCGACCTGATTTCTGGAAAACAGTCACTGTAGATAGAAGCATCCTGCTTTTATTTTCCACATTTTTAAGGTGCACCAAATCTTCTTTGTGTTGTAACTTTTCCTGTCAGTTCGGCCAAAAAGAATAATCAATTTAAAAGCAGTCTCCAAACAAGTTAACCACTTAGGCATGTCTTTGTCTGTCTGTACAATCCTGTTTGCTACATGAACTTTTCAGAGGATTTACCAGCATTTACTTTCATCCTCCTCAGGACCATTATGAGTACTGGTTTGTACTGACATGGATGAGCAGTGGGGTGTCGTTTTATTCTTGCAAGTATTATGTGACCTACTCCAAAACTTTAGTAAAAACCTGCACTCAAAATGGCTAGAGAAACAGGAAAATGTGGGGTTGGAGGAAATGTTTGGTTCTTTGTAAAATAAAGATGATGAGCAGCAGAGACATCCTTCCGACTCAAGAGTACATGGTCAGCTGAAGCCACTGAAGAGACACAAGAGCAGAAAGGATGGGGTTATGAAGACAGTGAGATTTCATAATACGTTGTGAAATACATCCTAACAGAGCCAATACAGCCGCTCTTCTCTGGGCAGCCAGGTCTGCCTGCGGTGACTGCTCTCTATGGCCAGTCTGTGGGTCCTGAGTCTGTACACAGTCAAGGATCTCCTCAGTCTGGGGTCAGTTACCAAACTCAGGTAATCTGCCATGGAGTATTATCTGTTTAGGGCCAGATAGCATTGAAGTTTGCATTGGGTTTGAGTTGTAGATGTCCAATAGTTGGGGTGGTAGGCTTTGAGGTGCCTATTTTGCCTATTTTTGGATCTGAATTAACCCCTTACATACTGTTCAAATCCTGTACCCTCAAAGTAGTGCTGGGCGATAGGATATATAGATATCGTGGGCACGATAGAAAATGTCTATCGTGCCATTTCTATTTTTATCGTTTCGAGCAATAGGCTGTATTTTATCCATAGGGCTTGTGCCATCAGATGATTCATAGTAACAACAACAATTGCACATTCAGTAAGTGTATTTGGTGTCAAACGGGAAAGAAAACAATATTTTCTTACAAAGAAAAGGATGCGTTGACATGTAGGCTCGCATTTCTCTTTCGATTTTGCGACATGACGCCGCTTTACGTGCCCTCTTCGTGTCCAGCATCTCCCGCCGTTGCGGGTTACCTGGGTAACACGCGTGAGGGGATCATTGTAAGCAGTGCTTAATTTGTGCCGGAGCGCGCTCCGGGACCTCTTTTGATCGGATCCGGGACCTATTTCAGCCACTCCGGCACCTGTTTCATCTGCTACGGGACCCTCCCTGTAGAGGATGACATTTTTCGGGAATTCCCGTGGGTCACGTGATTCCCGCGGGAATCCAACGGGATGGGAGTCATTTTTTAATTAATCCCTTGATCGGGACGGGACGGGAAAAAAAGCAACGGGAGTGGACAGAAGCGGGAACAACATTAATAGATGATCATTTTCAGCCGTGTTAAACAACCAGACGAACAGGTGCGTCCATTTTTGTAGTCATCTCTCAGTGAGAGCCAACACTCTTGACCCAGAGCAGTGGATTAAACAGAGTGGCGACAACTTCAGATCTCGCCGCCGGAGCGGTCACGTGGTTCATGTACCCCTCTATAGTTCCAAACGCAGCCTGCACTGTCCATGCTCTTCAACGGGACAGACTGCAGTGAGCACGCATTTAAGAGGTAAATATTAAAATTAACCGTAAAAAGTCAACATTTGCAACTCTTATTGGATTACTGTGTACACGTCAAAGTCACGTATGTATATTTAGCGGCTGGATGACAAAGAAAAGTGAAAGAAGACAAGTTTGGTAACACATGTTACTTTTTAATAAGAGAAAACAATACAGTAAAGTGGTAAGTAACAGGTGTTACAAGCTGTTTAAACAATTGTGCAATGTTTTGGTCTTGCAGCATGGCCTGCATAACATTTTTCCATGTTAAACATACGCCTTAAATGCTGCAGGATTTAAAAAGTAGCTGCCCCTTAGCTCTATCATCCCATAAGCAGAAATCAAATTACATAGCACGTATGATAGTCTAAAAAAAATAAATTGCACATAACATCGGGAACTGATAAAGGCGGAAATCTAAAATAAAGCCCATAAGTAACCATCTCAACATATGATTGATGATGATTTATCTGTGATTCATAACTCAGTCACACAATAAATTTTGGCAGGCCTCTACAGCTGACGACATCCAACTAGCAGGCCGTGGCTAAAAAATCGATCCCAATTCCTAACTAAAAAAAACGTAATTACAATTTGAGCATACTAAAATTAAAATCATTTTACATATAAAGGGGTCCCTCGATACCATTTACAAACGTATTGGTATTACATTCGTTGATACAATATTTTACCTCGGGGAGTGTGGGAGCAAACCGTGGCTAAAAAAATCGCTCCCAATTCCTGACTAAAAAAACGTAATTACATTTGGGATATACATTTTTACATATAAAGGGGTCCCCTCGATATCAATAACACATGTATTGGCATTAAACTTGTTGATATTTTATCATCTATCCTCGGTGAGTGCTTGCCTTGTGGCCATAGAAGCGAACGGCGTCCGACGTGACAGGCGGTCATGTTGGAACTATTAAGAGTTCCATAACCCAGAAGTGGGGTCCGCCGGGCTGTACAGCGTATGCCTATGGGAGTGTTGCCACTCTGTTTAATCCACTGCTCTGTCTTGACCGCGTTAGCAACACAAAAGAACTACAACAGTGGTTTGACTTCCTGTCAGCTGGGAGCGCGGCTGCGCATTTCTACCCTTCAAGCCAGGAGCGAGGAAACGTAATTTTGTGACATTCTGTAGTGTTTCAATCATTTCTGGAGTCATGGCGAATCAAATCACCTTACCTGTCTGCCCCTGATAGGCAAATAAAGCGCTCGGATTCATGCTCGGGTCTTGCTACGTGCTTCAAGAGTAAATTAACAGCGACGGAGGCAGAGAGCAGCTTTGTAGGAGAAACATCCAGCAGCGTGAACAACCTCTTCAAAAGAGCCCTAAAGACCTACCTTTTTAATAAAGCCTTTGGTTAGCTTTCCTCTATGCTTTCACTACCTTGCCTCTTACATTGCAACTCTATATTCTTTATTTTTTTTATTCTTTTATGCTTTTTTATGCCCATCTGTGACTGTCATTCTATTGCTTTTTTTTTATTTTTGCTGCTCTTTTTTACTGTGTACTGTAGCACTTTGAGATTTTTTGTAAATGTAAAGTACATTACAAATTAAATTTATTATTATTATTATTATTATTATTATTATTATTATGGAGTGCTTTGGCTCACACTATCGGCGTTTTCTGTGAGTGTTGCATAACTTTGGGTGAGCACAGACATGAACGCACTACAGCCACGTATTTATTTATTCATTCATTTTTCTAGTTTTAAGTGCTGGTCTTGTACTGGCACTGTACTAGGGCAGCTGTATACACTTTCATTTTTCATTGAACTGAAAGCATACCATAGCTATATCATGGTATATCGTTATAGTGATATAAAATGATCCATATCGTGATATACATTTTTTTCCATATCGCCCAGCACTACCTCACAGTATGTTCCGGGTCAAAATTGACCCAGTCCAAGAACTGCCCATGTAGCAAGTATCTTCACCAATGTTCTAACCCCAAACCTATTAATAATGTTTAAATGACCTATGCTACTTCAAAAAATTATTGACTAGTCCTTCCTAAATGTTTCAAAGAGCAGGGAAAGTGTAGTTTTCCGTTTTAACACCACTCGTTTTTTGGTGAAATATACATATATTGGAGAAGAATATCTGTTACACAGGATAATTCAATTCAATTCAATTCAATTCAGTTCAATATAGCTTTATTCATTCCCTAGGGGCAATTGAAAAGCAGCAGCTGAGCAAACATTAAAATAGAATAGAGAAAAAGGAGAAAAAAGTATAAAATCAGTAGGAACGTCATCAGTAGAAACGTCAACGTCATAAATATAATGTCATCTAATATTATGTAAGACATAAAAATATAAAAGTCATAATGATTTGAATATACTTTTTTGAACAACAAACTTCATATTGAACACTGTTCTCACTGTTTGTCACTGTCCTTACTGCTGGTCAAAGCAAAGGTAGGACATTTTACATGTGTGGAGCTCGCACATGTGTTTGCCACTGAAATGGCAGCTGTCTCCACTCTCATAATGTTACGACTCCCACCACATTCCTCCCAATCAAAACAGATTTCAATTTGTCACTTTGTACATTATATTGCAGGAGCAGGTGCACATGTTATGTCTGTGTCAAGGCACACTCTGACCTCCGGATGACTTCTGATCCCTTTGTACTCCATGTATGATCACTCATGTGTTGTTTGTTTACTATTCCTATATTTTAGGTCCCCCCTGCCCCTTTCAAGAGCAGCTTTCTGTCACAGAAAGTTCTTGTGACTGGTTAGGTCATCTTGACCTCTGTCTAGGTGTGTCTGTGTGACTGTATGTCTGTGTGGGCGTGTGTGTGTTTCTGTCAAGGTAATAATTGTTTCATAACGATTTGAATATATTTTCTTGAACAACAAACCTTATATTGAACACCGTTGTTACTGCTTGTCACTTGTCCCACACTGCTAGATCTTACATCCATCTAAATACACACGTGGACAAAATTGTTGGTACCCCTCAGGTAAAGAAGGAAAAACCCACAATTCTCACTGAAATCACTTGAAACCTACAAAAGTAACAATAAATAAAAATGTATTGAAAATTAAATAATCAAAATCAGCCATTACTTTTGAATTGTTGATTAACATAATTATTTAAAAAAAACAACTAATGAAAAAGGGCTGGACAAAAATGATGGTACCCATAACTTAATATTTTGTTGCACAACCTTTTGAGGCAATCACTGCAATTAAACGATTTCTGTATTTGTCAATGAGCGTTCTGCAGCTGTCAACAGGTATTTTGGCCCACTCCTAATGAGCAAACTGCTCCAGTTGTCTCAGGTTTGATGGGTGTCTTCTCCAAATGGCATGTTTCAGCTCCTTCCACAGATGTTCAATGGGATTCAGACCTGGGCTCATGGAAGGCCACTTTAGAATAGTCCAACGCTTTTCTCTCAGCCATTCTTGGGTGTTTTTGGCTGTGTGTTTTGGATCGTTGTCCTGTTGGAAGACCCATGACCTGCGACTGAGACCAAGCTTTCTGACACTAGGCAGCACATTTCTCTCCAGAATGCCTTGATAGTCGTCAGATTTCATTTTACCTTGCACACATTCAAGACACCCTGTGCCAGATGCAGCAAAGCAGCCCCAAAACATTGCTGAGCCTCCTCCATGTTTCACCGTAGGGACAGTGTTCTTTTCTTCGTATGCTTGGTTTTTGAGTCTATGAACATAGAGTTGATGTGCCTTACCAAAAAGCTCCAGTTTGGTCTCATCTGTCCAAAGGACATTCTCCCAGAAGCTTTGTGGCTTGTCAACATGCATTTTTGCAAATACCAGTCTCGCTTTTTTATGATTTTTTTCAGCAGTGGTGTCCTCCTTGGTCGTCTCCCATGAAGTCCACTTTGGCTCAAACAACGACGAATGGTGCGATCTGACACTGATGTACCTTGGCCTTGGAGTTCACCTTTAATTTCTTTGGAGGTTGTCCTGGGCTCTTTGGATACAATTCGAACGATCTGTCTCTTCAATCTGTCATCAATTTTCCTCTTGCGGCCACGTCCAGGGAGGTTGGCTACTGTCCCGTGGGTCTTGAACTTCTGAATAATATGAGCCACTGTTGTCACAGGAACTTCAAGCTGTTTAGAGATGGTCTTATAGCCTGCACCTTTAAGATGTTTGTCTATAATTTTTTTTCGGATGTCCTGGGACAATTCTCTCCTTCGCTTTCTGTTGTCCATATTCAGTGTGGTACACACCTTTTCACCAAACAGCAGAGTGACTACTTGTCTCCCTTTAAATAGGCAGACTGACTGATTATGAGTTTGGAAACACCTGTGATGTCAATTAAAGGACACACCTGAGTTAATCATGTCACTCTGGTCAAATAGTTTTCAATCTTTTATAGAGGTACCATCATTTTTGTCCAGCCCTATTTCATTAGTTTGTTTTTTTTAAATAATTATGTTAATCAACATTTCAAACGTAATGGCTGATTTTGATTATTTAATTTTCAATAAATTTTTATTTATTGTTACTTTTGTAGGTTTCAAGTGATTTCAGTGAGAATTGTGGGTTTTTCCTTCTTTAACTGAGGGGTACCAACAATTTTGTCCACGTGTGTAGATGCTGGTCAAATTTGACAAGCAACAGCCTCAGAGGGAAAAAATGTGTAGCACATAAACAAAAATACACATTAAAATGTTTAAATTAATTTCATGTATTTTGGGCCATTCCAGGAAAAGTCATCAAGTTTCAGGCTTAAAGAATGACGTTTAGGGTATTTTTACTGCTGTTAAAAGTCATAACGGGTCAAATTTGACCCGAACAGTATGTGAGGGTTAAAAAGGGAAATTGTCCTAATTCAGCTCTGGATCCGTTACTGGGGGTGTTTCTGTGGACCTCCTGTGGAGAAAGCTTTTACAAATCTCTGTGTGCAGACTTTCGATTGGGTGTTTGTCCCATTTCTCAAAGTCTTGCTGTACAAGACGACCCCACACTTCACTACCATATAATACAATGGGTTCAATTACAGACTGGAATATTTTGATCCAGATTCTAACTGGAATATTAACAGACCAGAAGGCTCTTCTGCCCTTGTCTCACAGAATGTTAATGGCCAGATTGAAATTTCCTGTAGGGGTGATGTGTAGTCCGAGGTATGTGTAGCTGTGTGCGTGTTGTATGTCTGTAGAGTCCAGGAATAACCTGTGTTGGTCTTTTTGACACTTGGGTCGTTTCTGACTACGACTCTTGTCTTCTCTGGGTTGACAGTAAGGGCCCAGGTCTGACAGAACCTTTGCAGATGATCTAATTGCTTCTGTAGAGCCTCCTTAAATGGAGATGGATTAGATTATCTGCAAAAAGTAAGCACTTCACTTTGGCCAAATCATCAACTTAGATATTATAGATATTGAAGAGGGCGGGGCTGAGACTGCAGCCCTGCTTTACCCCACTACTTTGGAGGAAGAAGTCTGTTTCTATGGTTCGAGTTTTCACCCCGCATTGATTATTTATGTACATTGTTTTAAAGACAAAAAATAACTTAAAAGAAAACTGAGATCACTTTACCTCCTGAATATTGACTTGGATGGTCCCATTGCTGTCTTTGTCCAGGGTTTTGAAGGCACCTGAATCAAAGCAGAAAAGTTTAGATACTCACACTAGTTTAAGAAGTTTTTGTTTTTTTTCCTTTAGCAGAAAATTACAATTTCAGGGTTACATCTTCAGAAAACACCACAACACCTGGTGGCTAGTGGAACATAGAGCAGCCCTCTACGACTGCAGCAGAAGCATCACCAGGCTTTGCCAATATGAATATTTTCAGTCTCTTTTCAGTTTCTTCGTCAGCAACAAATTAAGTCAAATCCTGTATAAACTTGTTCAGAAAATCTGCATTAAATGTATAAGTTACTGTGCATGATGTTGGTACAAAACAGCCTTTCCCAGACTATGGATCATGACCCAATGTGGGTCGAAGATCAATTTTCATTGGGTCGCCAGTTGGTGGAGTAAAATTTGTAACACATTTGTGAATACAGATTCCAAACACAAACAATATAATATTGCTGTGTGGTGATTATCTCCGTTGCATCTCTGTCTTTCACTCTCTCCATCTGTCCAGGAAGAGTTCATTAAAGTAGGCTTCACAACAACCCAAAAAAAATGAAGACAGGCCTCAATGTATTTTTAGCGCCAAGATGCTCAGCCGACCGACATCGTCAAACCAGGCACCCTACACAGGATGCAAAGAGGCATTAAAAAAACAGTGTTTGACAGTAGAATAGTAACTTTAGCGTCAAGTTGTATTTGCTTGTGTTGCATTTAAAAAGTTAGTTTTGTGTGTCCGTCACATTTTATTTTTCTACTTCCTGGCTAACTAGTCAAATGATAGCAATTAGCTAACACTAACTAACGGTACTCAATACTGAAGAAAGGAGGAAAGTTGAGCTGTGTGTGTGTGTGTGTGTGTGTGTGTGTGTGTGTGTGTGTGTGTGTGTGAGAGAGAGAGAGAGAGAGAGAGAGAGAGAGAGAGAGAGAGAGAGAGAGAGAGAGACAGAGAGAGAGAGAGTGAGAAAGAGATGGAGAAAGACAGAGAGAGACTATTGTAGGAAGTTGGAGTGGGGATTTTTGATAATATTCTCTCCTTTATCTACCAGGTACTTAGAGGTGCCTCTCGGTGCCAGACCGAGACGCTTAGGCAGAAGAACTACCGCGTCTCAAATAATGACTACGATGATTATTACATCAAAAAAATGATCCACTGCACTCGGTGATCAACTCGTCAGGGCTCCCCACAAACAAGTGGCTGCTGGAGGAGAGTGGGTGAGTTGTGTTTGGTTTCTTTGCCAAAGAAACCAGGCAAAGCTAAAAAGCTGTTTGATGGCCAGTACTATGACTGGGACCCTATATGTACTGTTGATGAAGTTAGGTGCTGTTCTGAGCATTATTTGTGGCTATAGAGTGGCTTTTTGGTTGAGGTTGGCGCGTGGAGAGGTAGATTGCTGTGTATTGCTATCATGCGGTCGTTGCTAAAGTTGGTATTACTAAAGTAAAAGGCAGTTGGCAACATTCATCTCTTGGGGGGATGTCTAACTCAGTGTTACAGTGCTTCTGACCCTAACTTAATTTTACACTGGAATACCCCATTAATTCCAGTAAAGTCACTGTTTTCTGTCCCAGATGTATACATCTGAGATTCTGATAAATATTATTTTTAATATTTTTAACTGTTGTTTATTACCCTCTCAAAGCACAATTTGTAATAAATCTATTTATATATTGAAATTCATAGTTTGTTTTGGTCATTATCATTAGTTCATACAATTATAGATGCTGTGGAAATTGACCTCTTAAAAAAGCTTCCTATATATGTTGATCCTCCGATCACAACTGTCATGGGCTTAATATAAAGTTTGTCCAAAGAGAGTAACAGCAGTGATTGCAGGATCATGAATGCTTAAGTACAAAGGAAGGTTGAGTTTAGGTCTCTAGGAGACATCAAATTCTGTTCTGGGTCTAAAAGTCCCACTCAGATCGTTTTTTTTACCACTTGAGGTGTTATCAGTGGTCAAATTGTGATTATGAAGTTTTTAGCCAAAATTATGTTACTTGGGCTTTTCTTCTGCAGAGCTCAAGTAGCTCATTAGCAATTCGCTTCTGAGTTGTGGGTGTAGACAGTGCTCCTCTGAACACCCCCCTTACGCTAGTTTGTAGCTTAACATTGCCGGTGTAGTAGAAGTGGCAGGTAACATAGGAGCTATTCAGCTCTCAAACACAACACAACTGTTTGTACGACCATTTCCAAGCAGGGATTGGCATTTATCACTTTCGGCCGTGAGCATAAGATACAATCAAATCTCCAACAGGTCTCAAATCGTGTACGCAAGTTTAATAAAGTGCAGTGCAGCAAATGTCTGTCTCAAAATAATGAATAAACAAACCTCTAACCTGTCATTAAGGACAAGCAGACATATTTCATCAAAGATTAATAAATAAATAAAATTAAATAAAATAAATATGGTAAGCCCTTAATGAATAGGCCCATTTGATAACCCCCCAGGCAAACACTGCCACAGAGCAGGAGTGCCGTTTTAACATTGTGCACACAAGCACACATGCCACTGTGGAGCGCTGCTTTTGACTCCTAAAAGGCAGGTGGCTCTGTCTTGGCCCAGCGGGGGGAACATCGTTGTACACTCCTAAAAAGGTGTGAGATATCATTTAGGCCAGTACAGTTTTGCACAATGTTGTACTAGTGAATGAAGTGCTGTTCGATGTGCAGGTGCAACGTTAGGACCCGATGCCCAGAGAACAAGTTTAGAAAGTGGTCTTGCAATTTAATCAGTGATAAAAATCCATAAAAATGTGCCTCAGGGGCAGCAACACACAACAACAACAACAACAACAACCGTTTAGTGACGTTAATAATGATTTTTGTTCAGCCTCTGTCAGACTCTCCAGTCTGCTCTACATTACAAAGACGCAACAAATTAAAACTAAATACTCTCAATAAAAGGAGCCACGTACCCTGGTACGGCAATAAAAAATATAAGGTATGTATGAGATATTAATTTATCATCATGGGCAACTTATTGACTAATGATTTATTCAAACTTCACCCGATGTCCATTATTCCGTGGCAGCGCTGTTAACCGCCACCCAATCCTGCTCCAGGCAGGGTTCTTCTGGACTGCTTTTATACCAGTTTTGATGCTTCCAAAGATCACATTTTTGTTAGTTATAACCACAGAACCAAGGATATCCACTTTCATCTCAGAAAAGTTTTGCATCTTTCTAACATTTTTCCTTTTTCATGTTTGACCTCAGTGGGCGAGGCTTCTGTACCACAAATATTTAAGGGCATGACATGTTAATGATGATCAAGTTCAGAACCGTATGTATCAAGACCCTATCATTCATTCGCTGGGATTGGTCAGATATGAACCCTTTCATAAATCTCACGTGTGTCCAATCGTACGATGATTCCTGCGCTCAGTTCTACGCAAGAGTGATGAATAAGGGCCATTGCGTCTGAGCCTGCCGTTTGGGTCTGCCAGAGATTCACAGCAATTTTAATGCAGAAATACTCAGAAATGCAATTTCGCACTTATTTTTCTTATGATATGTCTTGTAGCATCAGAAAAATGCCATTTGAACATGTAGACAACAAGAAAAACATGATTTTCATTGGCGTGGGTCTTTAAGCAAAAAAGGTTTGGGAACACCTCGTATAAAACACCTACAATGTATTCAGTTAACCTACCATTTAAATGTTTTGTAACCCTTTAACCAATAAATGTTTGTTCTGGGCGCAGCTGATTCATATGCTAATCAGGCTTATATTTCAAACTCAATAATAGATAGTAGTTTGACATTTTATCATCAAAACATTCTGTCACAAGTGAGTGGTATTCAGTTGATCTCCTTACTCTTATAACATTACTTGTCAAAAGGTGGAAATTGGAGATAGACCATGTAGCAATCAAGACAAACCTGTGGGTGAAACCCACACATTTATCGCAAACAAAGTTCCTTATCTGTTCGCAGAACACAGGATCATATAATTCTTTCCAGACTTGTTTGCACTTTTAGGTTACCTAACTGACCCGACCGGAGGTTGACCGAAACCTCTGGCTCTTCACGATTGGTCAATTCAGAGAACAGAGACAGAGTCTTTATTATCTTTCAAACTGACATCGCTTACCATCTAAATAATCATTCATGACTCAATCCAGGTCTCCCATTTAAGATTTACTGTCTTAAAAATTGTGACCCCAAGAAAAGGTCTGAGGAGCAGGACACTGACCTCCAGACCTCAGTCATAAATCCCTGCTCAACCATGTACTGATAAAAACTGCATTCCTTTGGAGAAAGAATACAAATGACTGATAATGACATCTTATGCATTCAGCAATGTACTGATCTCTCTAATCATGAAATTTGTGTTAAAATGAGATGTTTCCTGTGTTTCTATGTGCTCCAGAAGCCAAGTTATCACTCTGACAGAATAAATCCTTATTCTTTAGTTTCTTTAGGCCAACAGCTTTTCAGACTACTTCATGAACTTTAAGGAGTTAAATTTTTTGACTATGACTCATAACTTTACTAAAAGTAACAGAAATAGTTTAGAAATGTTTGGTTTATATTTTAATCATTTATTTAGTATTTTTAACCATTAGATGGTTATAATGTCATTGAATAATCTGAATGTTAACATACAGAATCCATTATTAATGATGATGAAGTTCATTCACATGTATTTACTCTTTTGTTGTTCACAGTTTCTTTGTGTTAGCATCTTTTTATTTCAGAGTAATTTAGCATGTTCAGTGTGATACTTAAAACATAATGAGAATGTTTGACGTGATCCTACATTTCATTCATATGTGTTTAGTATCAAATCATTTATCATGAAACCAAGCATTCAATGATATTAGTGAGTGAGTATCAGATCTGACTCTTTTACCAGCCAAAAGTATAAGTTAGATCAAATAATCAGAAATCCAAGACGTCTCCTCTGCAGCCAGAGACTCCACAACCCCTCCTCTTTCTCCTCACACACACACACACGCCAGAGACACTCCCAGTGTGAGACGATAAAAACCAGTAAAGTGGGGTTGCTCACTCTCTCTTATGTTTTACTCTCTTACGTTCTCTTTTTCTTCCCGCTTGGTTTTTCCTTGGGTTTTCTCTTAGCACTCTTTTTTGTTTTCTCTTAGCTCTAATTTTTTTTTTTACTTAGTCTTACTATTTCTTAGTCTTCAAAGTTTTACACCACGTGTTCATTTACATTGATTTTTCTTTAACATCATCTTAGTTCAAGTTTTGAAACTTCAACTTTTTGTGTGCATAGCAATTCAAGATTAAGCCTTTAATTGTTTTTTCTTTAATTTCGCAAAGCCATTTTTGAAATAGTTTCGACTGGCCAGCGACCCTCTTTTTCTGAGTCATCTGCGTGATTTCAAGGTCACCTCTGAACACCACCCAGCAGGCCCAAAGTCATTCTCTGTGCCAGAGTTTTTGAGTGAGACCAACGAGCACCCACAGGATCCACAAGCGCCGGTTTTTGCTTTGGGCCCGAGTGCTGCAACTCCTGGCCCATCCTACGGCTGACTTAAATGGGACCTGCCATCAAAATTTCATACCCATTTTTATCATTTTTTCATAATCCTTGATGTCCTCTGATCATGTTTGCAACATAATTTTAGCTGAAAAGTTATTTGATGGTTTGTTTTAGTATGCCTAAAAAACCTTACAGGAAAACCAACTGATTTTGGCTCATTAACATTTATGGTAATGAGCTTTGCTCTGATTGGATCGCTGCTGTGAAGCCTGCTGTGCTCTGATTGGCTCAACAGTGGAGGTTCGGATTTCGGTTTATCCATTTTGCTAATGTGTGCTCAAGCAAGGTGCCCAGATGTCTATAATGATATCCGGGGATATTCGGTGCGGCGGCAGCGTCGGGTGCAGGGGCTGCAGGGGCTGTGTGATCACAGACAAAATCTCTGTACTATTTAGTAGCAGCGCATGCCCCTTTTAATAACCCCCTTAAAAACTGTTGTTCAGGACTGCTTACTTGTGCTTCCTACCTATTCGGCTACTGTAATAACCGCAACACACGCAACATTTTTGCTCTCATTCATGAAACGCTTAAATCGGGGACATTTTCGGGGACAGCTTTTGCCGGGGACAGGTCATCCAATAAGGGGACTGTCCCCGGAAATCGGGGACGTCTGGTCACCTTATGCTAAAGGCTAAAAATGGCAGGTATTAAACCATATATTTTAGACCCCGAGTCCGAAGAGGAGGTGGAAGTTGAAGAAGAAGCCAGAGATCTCCAGCGGTGTTTTCTCATTCATTCTGCCCAGCTTTAAGTTCATTTTCCCGGCAGTGAACCCAAGGAAACACTGGTTGTTTGGAAGAGACCCATAGCGGATAAAGTGGTAGCTGGGTCTCGCTCTGGCTGGAGAGTGATGTTGTTGACTGTGAATGAGTACGAGAACGAGAGTGGGCGCGGCTCACCGAGGACGCGCTTGTGAATAATAATGAGCAAGGTCAGCGCGACGTCAGAGGGAACTGCTTTTTCAATTGGCCTGGTTTACCCGTTCCTTTATTTTAAACCTTTACAGAATGCAAACGACGTAACGGTTTGTTTTCACATTTACAACCTAAGACGAACATAATATGGACCTTATCTGACACAAAATACTCACACAAAATTACATTTTGATGGCAGGTCCCCTTTAAGTCGTCTTAATCTTAGAATCTATTATTTATCCTCATTATCTTCTCATCATTTATTGCATGTATGTTGTACTATCATTTATTCTGTAATAAACAGATCATTATTTTTCTAAGTTCTTGTTTGTTAGTGTTATTCCAGAAGTGGGGTCCCTGAAATGAGAATTTCGGCTTAAAATATGAGATTAATTAATTTAAGATTGACTTAAGGTTTGATTTCTGAATTAAACTTTTGTTTTTCGTTATTTTCCCACCATTAAGGGTGGGTGGTGCCCCTTTGAACGAGTACATAAATGTCATAATTTGAGATTATTAATCTGCAGACATTTATTATATATTCAAATCGCTACAACCAATTCATGCTGAAATACTGAACACTGGAAAAGTCTAGATCCTGGACAGTAGCCAAAATTAGGATTTTCCGATTTATTAGGTATCTGCAAGACTTTTAGTGGTGGACGGAGATCAGCATGAGCACCAAACCAGCCTGCAGCCATGCAGCCCTGCCTTCCATGCAACAAACTGTGACATGCTGTTAATTCTGACCTCTCTAAATTGTAAGAACCAGCATCCACTTTTTAGTGGCTTGAGCTTCAATAGCTCTTTCAGTGGATCATATCTTAAAAATAAACCTTCCTCCTCACATGAATCAATGAGAATTGGCTACCCCTATTGCCAGTTTTGCTTTCTGGACCACTTGTAGTGTGTACTGACCTATGCAGACTCCTGAAGCTGCAGTTTTGCTCTGACCCTGCTCTGCTGTTTAGAGCTTTGATCTTATCCCCTTATCCTTACTTGTAACACTAGGATAGGTAGACCTGGTAAAGACACATTTAACTATCAGCTTTAGGGCTGGTCTTTTAAACTTACGGCACATGGCATCCAGCCTTACAAGGCAGCCGATGTAGTTGTCAAAATCCATGTTTCCATTTTCATCGCTGTACCTCCGGATTAACATTTGGAAGAGCTGGTCATTAAGGGGGAAGCCTGAAACGAGAGAGACACTTTATATAAGCACTCATCAGCATTAACACAAATGACCCAGGCTTCAGGCTATGCTGCTAATCACGAACACATGCAAAAATCCGCCACAATAGTGAAACGACGAACCCTCTACACAAAAGCCAGAGGAAAAATCTTCAAAATGATTTGAAATTCATAGTATTCTGTTTTCATTCACGTTTTACACAATGTCTCAACTTCAATTTGTTAAAATTGGGGTTTGTAAAAATAACTACTTACCAGCAGCTCTGAAAGCGTTAGGCAGCTCATCTGCACCAATGACTCCAGAACCATCAGTGTCATAGGATTTGTAAATTCCCTAAAAACAAAGAAATTTTTTTTAGAGAGTAGTGCATCATGTATCTGGAGTGTTATGTTAATTGTCAGGCTTTATATAGTCATTCTGATGTTGTCTGATGTCGTTAAGTAGCTAGGTGCCATCTTTGAAGCCTCATATCCACCTCTGTCCTAAATGCTCCTTCCACCTACTCTCTCTAAGAACAGAGCAGGATGTTAAAGTTTGATAACTGCCATGTTCAGTATGCCATTTTAAGCCAGACCATCAGCTGGTTATGTTACTCAGTCACAGGAGTGGGGATGTGGATCAATCATAAACTGGAACATTATTAGAAATGTGAGTAATAGTGTGTATGGTTTGAGTTTAAGAAGCAATATGTTGCCCTACCCCTGTCTTGCCTTCCCTCAGTCAAACTAACTGTGTTGTTCTGTTATTAAGTATTTACGGTAGTAATTAGGACACCAAGTAATTCATAGTTAGAAAATCATTGTTGTCTTTTTTCTGAAATGTAAAGAGAGTTTCATTTTGAACACAGTGTGTTGTTTATGTACAGACATGTAACTGACATTTATTATTTTTATCCTTCTTCTAACACTTATGGTCTATTTATCTGCCATCTACTTCCATACATAGTGGAAACAGCCAGGGGAAGAGTGCATATAAAAAAGTGTGTCAGTAAACCCATATGCAAGTTACTGTGTGTCAGTTGTGTTTACATTGAAGGCAGTGGCATGTGCTGGTCTTTCAAAGAGGGGAAGCAATTTTTTTCCCCGGCCTACATCATAAATGTATTTATTTATTTACTTATATGTAAAGTCTACCCTCTGTTCCTTTTCAAGAAAATGATCTGTGACCCTGTCGTGACAGAAGAGTCAACAAAGTCGCTGGGGATCGGTAAAGTCTCCGGATCAGTTCAGAATAACGGAATGAAAACTTGGAAAATGCTCCAATGGATGTTTATACTTTAAGACTGTTGATATTGTGTGTGAGTGTGAGAGAATGTAAGAGTTGGAGGGTGGGAGAGAATGTGATTGTGTATGTTCATTCCAAAGTTGATAACCTTGTATCCCACAAGTCAATCTGTACAAATTACACTGTTCTTACATCATTTTGTATTGCAGGACATGCACTCAAAGATAAAAGAGTTTCAAGAGCAATAAGGCTGTGCAGGAAGGTAGTAGGATACTTCTCCCAAAGTTGGAAGAAGAAGGCAGAAATAACTGAAGCACAGATCAAACTTCCTCATCGCTCAATGGCAAACAAGATGGGGATGCAAAGAAATGATGATTGCCAGAGAGAACAATTTATGTATAAAAAAAATAATCGCACATTGAATTGCAATTGCAATATTGAGGAAAAAAATGGCAATTAGATTATTTTCCAAAATTGTTCAGCCCTATGAACAAACAACCAGGATAAATAAGATGATACTTGCCTGCCATTTCTTTACATTGTTCCAGAGATGTTTGAATTCATGAAAGCCGAGTTTTCCAGTGCTGTCGCTCTGAAACAGCATTAAGGACAACACGTGCGAGTTGTATGTAATATGTATGTAATACCCCAGAGTAGAGTGTGTAATGTGTTTAATTGTAATACCTTGAAGGGGAAATCTTTTAATTGTAGCTGATCGTGCCTGTTTATTCTGAATGTTTTACTATGAGCAAAGCAAACCAAAAACTGACTTTTTGCTTTAAACTAAAGCTGTGAAGAAGTTTCCTTCTCTGGCTCTGGTCAAACAGGGGGGGCTGGTTAACGGCAGGTCGTGTTTACACAAGGTGTGTTTTACATGCCTTCTTCATCAAGAGATGCAGAGCTCACAGCAGGTAATTAGAATACACTCCTTGTTGGACTTGTTCACAACACTATAGCAGACCTGCCAACTTAGAAAAATTTTATGACTACTACCCAACCCACCCCAAACCCAGGGGCGACCCACTCCACTGTCAACCCACCACTGAGAAAATTACAACACAACATTGCATTTTTTCAAATAACTCTTATTCACAAAATGCAAGTCACAGTCATCCAGTGTAAACAGTACAACCCAAACGTTACACCTGCCATTTGCCTGCTCGTCCCCTCCCCGGTGTCTTCATGCTGATTTCTGTTTGCTGCTTCCTCAGACTCATTTTCATCATCCACTCCACTATTTGTTACAACACTGTGTGTCTGGTTTTTGAGCTTGTTTCTGTCCCTTTTTTTAACCCCCCAAAAAATGGTCCATTTTGTGTTTCACGCTGGCTAGTGGAGCTAATGTAGCGTGCCTGCAAATGTGCACTTCAGTCAAGTGTTGTAAACAATGCCACATAACACGCAGGCCGCGTTGTGAGGTTTGACAATGCCCCCTTTAGGAAGCACCATTAAGACTAAAATACTTCCTTTCACCTTCATTATTGGGGAGAAGGGAGAGGTATAATTCAGATGTTTGTGTTTTTGCAGTGTTGTATGTTTATGTAGCACATCTGAAAAATGTATTGGCTGTGTTACCACATAGGAAGCTACCATGCAAGCCACAGGGATGAGAATTTATAAGAGTTTATCGCTATCGATGCCATTATCGATTCTGCTTATCAATTCAATTCTTTAACGATTACCTTATCAACACCTTTCTTTGATTTAAAAAAAAGCAGACTACAGGTTTTCACCATTAACTCAAAATTTAATTGAGTCTCTAATGACAGAAAAAGATGTATGCCACCTTCAGTGAGAGACACGGGACCTACATTAGGGTGACCGTATTTTGAATCCCCAAAAAGAGGACAATACTACACTAGGCAGACTTGTGTGTGAAATTTTGAGGGTTTTTTTGGGTCGGGTCGAGTGTTTTTTATGCACTGAATTCCCAAAGACAGTGCATGCGTGCGTTGCGTCAGTGGCTTTGCTTAGAAGTAAGCGGAGGGGCAGAGCTGCAGAGAGCACTGATGCGCTGCACTGTTTTATAATGAATGAATACACGTTCCGGACATTTGAAGGAATTTATAAACTCTCCCTCCGGGTAAAAGAGGACGTATGGTTACCCTATCATACTTACCTTCCATGCCGTGCTGAGACGGAGCAGCAGAGGCTGACGACCTGTGGAGAGCATCAAATGCATGTGACTCCTTATATTTCATGCCGTGTCCCAATGACAAATGTTTAAGAATGTTGCTGGTGTTTCCACCTTTACATGTAATCACTGTGAGACAAACGTTGCACTGTAGTCGTCTTTCTTAGTAAAACTGAGCATCGCTTTAGAGCGTTTCTGCCTACTTTTTGTACCGTCCACCATGTTTTTTCCCCTGGCTCAGTTCTCGTTTTGCGTAGACTGCCACTCTTCTGCATAGTTTGAGTAAATCAATAGTAATTCGCCTCTGAGTCGTGGGCAGAGACAGCGCTGCTCTGCACACTTCTCCTCTCCTCCTTGCAGCCTAACATTGCCGGTATAGTAGAAGAAACAGGTAACATGGGAGCTATTCAGCTCTCAGACACTATTGTCTTTAGGGGCATGATGAAAGCTACTATCATAATTAGATTTCCTACAAGCATTTCAATCCGCTAACGCAGATGCTTGTTCCGCTAACGCAGATGCTTGTTCAGCGATCACCCTCTCTATTTCGGGCGGAGCCTGGGTTGGTTACATAGGAAATCTCACTGTATCTGATCCTGTCATTTGGGGTCTGCCAGAGATTCACAGCAATTTGAATGCAGAAATACTCAGAAATGCAATTTCATACTTATTTTTCTCATGATATGTCCTCTAGTATCAGAAAAATACCATATGAACATGGAGACAACAAGAAAAACATGATTTTCATAGGAGTGGGTCCTTGAGGGAATCGTTACGATAAAATCTAAATGATGTTGATGGATTGAACCATTTAGAACCAGTTCTCGATTCCCATCTCTAGCAAGCCACCAATTACAGCTTGACGAGCCATGCAATGAGTAACAGTGAGCTAAGATAACATTGTTAACATCAGCTACAATGGTTTGATCTGTTTCTGCAGCCCTGTAAATTTGATTGTCTTTTTCACAGCCTGTTGTTGCTGTATGTATCACTGTTACCTGTATTACACAACACACAAAGCTTTGTAATGACAGAAAGGATACATCCATGACTGCCACCATGCTCCTGCAAGACTCAATGCTGAAACCATCTGTTTTCAGGTCTCCATCTAACACAACAAAAAGAAAAGCAGCCACTCACCATGTGACTCTGTTTACAAGAGACAAACAATGTGCTAACACTGTAGATAGAAGGATGACACCACAACAGGATGATGTACATGACAAGGAAATACTGGAGACATAGAAGTGTAAAAATGTTACACAAATGGGTCTTACGCTTTGAAATGATTCTATTCAGGATGTTCATCAGCTCATTTGGGCTCACTTCCATGTCCTACATGACAAAACACAATGATTATACCATAATATAGGGTCGTTCCATGTCAATTCAACCAAGAATCTCCACTCACGTGGTTTTGACCAGATTTTGATGAAATTTGGTGGACTGATTGGACTTCAGGAGAAACTGTCAGAGCTCAAATATTTTTGATCAAAGCCATCTAATTAGTGAGATAGGGGCTAATTAATTTTTGGCTAATTAGCATGACATGCGTTACAAAAGTGTTCATATCTCTGGAAGTATGGCACCTAGAGAGCTGATTCAGGTGTCATTTTAAAGCTCTCTTCAAGTTCTAGAGAAATTATTTTACAGTCCTTACATGGCTCCTTTGCTCTCCTCTTGCCCAACGTCTTCTAGTATATTTTGGAATGGTTGCTAATTACTGTAGCTCTCCTGATATGCTCTTTCTCAAAGATTTGCACGTACTGAAAGCCAGAAGACCTAGACGACTGGGGAACCATCGTTCCTTACACTGACTCTATCAAACTCTTTGTAGTTCATACATTCTTTCCTATTTGGAAACAAACTAACAATATCGAAAAGCTGCACAAAGCTTGATCACCATGCTAAAAGTACTTTTGAAGTATAAAGGAAACGTTGAAAGGGCCCAGGATAAATAGCCTGGAATACTTCACAGGGAAACCAGCAACAAAGTTTCAGGGTACATAGGTAGAAGTTATTTGTCAACCCTAGGATCCAGGACATGCAGGTATGTCCAAATGATTCTCCCATGAAGCTAAGATCATTCATATTCTGGATATAGGTGCAAATAGAAATGAAATGCTATGGAAAACTGAGCAAAAATAAGCTATTGTAGCCATTTCATATAAATATGGGATAACGTACAAAAATGAAAACACTCAAAAAAAGCATTTTGTACTATGAGGAAGTAATATTTTACACAAGCAGGCAAGTGGGGCTGACTCCAGATGAGGTCAGGACTGTATAATGTGCCAAATATGGCGATTTTCGACCTAACGTACCACACATTTTGACTGATTACTCAAAAAGTTATGGAATGCCCATCCTGAAACTTGCAGGGATCCTAGTGGACATGATAGTCTTTCTTAAGTGTGAATATGAAGAAAATTGAAGGACGCGCGTTTTTTGCTATTTCCAATTTAAGTATTTGGTCTTTTATAACTTTTTTCTGGTCCGATTTGGGAAAAGTGTTATATAACAAAAAGATAGAACTTGAAGGGAGCTTTAAAATGACACCTGAATTAATTAGCCCCTATCTCACTAATTAGATGGCTTTGAACAAAAATATTTGAGCTCTGACAGTTTCTCCTGAAGTCCAATCAGTCCACCAAATTTCATCAAAATCTGTGACGTGAGTGGAGATTCTTGGTTGAATTGACATGGAATGACCCTATACAAAAACTTGAGCAGACTAATAGAGTAGTTAGTGTATTTTCGTGCAGTTAAAGAAGAGTTTGTGTACTTTTAAATATATCTGTCACATTTATGTGTAACTATCTGGCTAGTGGAAAGAAAAAGAAAAAAAATAGCTTGAGCAGACACAGGCATTAATTTGGCTTTTACTGCTCTCATAACTGGACCGCTAACCCTGCTACACTGGCAATTAACTGTTAAAGCTTTTAGTCCCTTGAGGTCAATCCAAACTTAAAAAAAATAAAAATAAAAACACATTTCAGTTTTTGTGCTTTAAACATGTGGAATCGTTTCAAACAGACTTGAAAATGAAGTGCAACTACTGCACTCACATCTCCAGCAAGCTGCTGGAAGACTCTGCGGAACTGCTTCTCCTCGTCACTCTCATGCTGCTCTGCATACACTGCCGGCCGGCGAGGTGGAGGCTGAGGGACAGAGTCACAGCAATCTTTACAATCCTATATTAAACAAGATTTACCTTCTGGTGGAGATGGCAGTATTGATGTTACTCACAGGATCAGTTGGCAGAAACTGGGCTGGGTCGATGTTGCTGGAGAGACAGGATTAAAGGGATATAAGTTCAGCAACACACCTTAAACTTTTTAGGTCTTTACAGGAACTCTGAGCGGATTCTTACCTGACAACATCAACAAGGCCACCGAGTAACTTTTTGGCGAGAAACATTTCTGTCAACTGTGAACACACACACACACGCACACACACACACACACACACACACACACACACACACACACACACACACACTCATTTATGGCACAATCACAAGTTCAACATGTAAAGTTCCTGTTGTGTTTGCTGCTGTGGGATCATGATGCACTTCTGTCTTTTGGACACTTCTAAAATGGGATTTTAAACCTCTCTATCTGCACTTTAATTGATCACTTCTACCCTATGTAATCACTGACCTTGAATCTATGTTGGAACATTTCAAGCTTGTTTTAACTTCTATCTGGTAGTTTCAGCCCTGTGCAGACCTGACAACTGCTTTTTGTCAGTCTTCTTTTTATTATTTCTGTCACTGTTTTACACTAATTGTCAATGAGCACTGACCCTGAGTGGTTCCTGAAGTGTAAAAAATGTCAGCTGATTGGTGGGTACCTGCTATGTCATAATTACAAAAGTAGCTGTGAGCAGCTGTTGTTAGCATTTGCATTTGTGGGTATACTAACTGGGGTTGCAGGGTATACTGATACTAGAAAAATAGTAGTGCAGCCCCAATCAGCTGGACTCGGTATACAAAAAACAACATGCTCACAACAGGTTGCTTTACCTCTCTGTGGTCGATTTCCTGCTGAATTGGATTTTATTCTGTGATTGTTAAGCTTCTACTGCATGTGAGAAGGACAGGGGGTTTTAAAGTTTCATTTTTTTGCAGGTTTACTTGTGTTTAGTAAGGTAAACTATGATCCTTTCTGCTGTGCTGTTACATTTAGACAGAGCAGCTAAAACTCCTGTTGGGATCCACATGGAACGGGGAGCAACCATTAGCAACCATTTGTCTAATTAGATTAGACAAAAATCAGAAAATTGTCACAAAAGGCCTAATTTTTAACCTTTTATGACAAGTTTCATCCTTCTGAATTCATGATTCATCTCTGCTGAATTCATGATTACTTCAAGGTAATGGCAGCCATCTTGGTTTTTCGAATTTAATGTTATAACCCTAATGAAAATAACAGATAACGGAAATGATATTTTCATGCGACCATATGCACGTAACAACAATCGCTGTTACAAATTTCTCACTCTCCCAATTCTGTACAAGTATCTATATGCTGTATCTCAAGAACCGTAATGGATACAGAGATGTACTAGGTACCAAAATGTCCGCAATAAACTTTATATTCAACGTCAATATATGTATGGGGCTTAAAATCAAGTCATTTTGAGTTATAAAGGAAAAACCACATTTTGGGGCGGACATCTTGGATTTTGGGGCCGCCATCTTGGAATTTTGCGTGGCTAACGTTATTTTTGAAAAGAGTCGGGTTTGAAGAGTATATGTACCAAATTTCATGCTTGTATAACAAAGTGAACGATTATTTCCTTATCTGCTCAGCTAAAACTGTATTCAAAGACTGCTTTTGAGACCCTGAAGCTATTTATGCCACAAAGTCCTGTCTGTTCCTAATACAGTGCCGCCTAAAAATCATGGCAATCTGGTACTGGTTGTAGGCTTTGTGTTATATGTAGACACTTACCATATTTTGAGGGTCTTTGATCCTTGGGATTAGTACAGTTTCTATCTATCTATCTATCTATCTATCTATTATTAATAACTGTAGATGGTGGGCTTCACAAGTTATTTGATATTTTATGCTAAGGACAACAATGCCCATGCAGTCTCTCACAGAGCTGAACCTCTATCTACCTTTGCTTTAGAGAGGCTCAGCCTTTTTCACAGTCTTTTAAACACAGTCATGTCACTAACCTGGTAGAAAATAACCTCGCTGTTAGAAGATGTTCTTCAATGTGTTTTTTCCAAGTATTACACAACTCTTTCAGTGTTTTGTTGTCCCCTTTCCTTTTCTTGGCCCCAAAATTTACACGATTACACAATTGTCAGTTTTTGATATGATAAACAATATTTATAAACAGACACGTGAAGTATGGTTTTTAAAATCAGGTTAAAAATCTTAATTAACGTTTCACACTCAATGGTTTGCAATTTATCACATTGTGTTTCATTTCTACATTTCACCCAGTATACAGGTCAATGACGTGACGCCTCAATATTCTGTCCGGCTGTATTTTCTTTATGTTACAAAGAGTTTTAAATGTAAAAAAATATACTATCTATGTGTAGTATCTCTCTAATATATGGAGCCACTTCAACTTTTCAAAAATCAGGAGTTTTTTGTAATTTTTCTGAACTTCAAAGGGTCAAAATATCATGTGGTACGACCGTCCAGCCATGACTTCTGTTTTGAAAACTTCTTTGAAATTACTCTAAATCTATTACAATTTAGTTTCTGCAATACTCTGCATAATTTTGAAGGTGTTTTTTATTCCTGTACAAAATTGCAAAGCTTTTGCAGTTAAATTTTTTTCATAATATATAAACGAATTTTGTCTGATCGTGTCCATTTCATTAAATATCATGTGGTGCGACCATCAAAAAATGACCATTTTTGACACTTTTATGCTGAAATTTACTCAAGGACAGGAAGTTGCATCATTCACCATTTTGTCGTAGAGCTATGGAAGCAGAAAGAGGGTTGGTGGCTCTCTCATTTCTTAAAAAAAAAAGACCTTTTCAACTGCTGTAATGGTGTTGCCACTTTTCCATGTCATGTGGTATGACCTCAAAAAAAAAACCAATTAATTTGAGTTATTTCCACAAATAAGTATTTTAATTATAAATTTCATAGTGACCTTTTGTGGGAAGCTAGTGAGCTTTGTTTATGTGACTAATCCTGTATCAGTAAGATTTGACTGAACTTGAAATGTCATGCGGTGCGACCAATTATCATGTGGTGCGACCACTGCAGATTGTTTTCCATCATAAACATATGCCCTAGATTGGCAGTATTTACGCTTTTTATATTCAATTGATGATTGATAAACACTAAGTACTTAATTTTTAGTATTATTTTGAATTTCTTTTGTTATTTGATGAGTCATTTTGCTAACATTTCTGAAATAATGGTTAGGTCATCTCTGTACAAAATAAGAACAAAAATATTAAAAGCATGCCATTTCACTTAAGGTATTTATGCCGTTGTTAGCAGTTTATTAACTTTCATGTATCAATTTAAGTCATTTTAATTTATTTTACCAGATGCCGCTGCCGAGCAAAGTTAAAAACGCTCGCCATAGGCAGCGTGTCAACTCTGACCCTGCAGCATGTTGTTCATGCCAGGGCTGGTCAAAGATTGGGCCGAGATTGTTGACATCGCTGCATGGATAGTGAGAGGAGCGCTTCGCAGAGAGCGTTATATTCATGATCGTTCAAATCCGTTTGATTTACCTGATGACGTTCTCTATGAACGTTACAGGTTTTCCTCAGACGGCCTCAATAGTCAGGTAACATGAAGTCGAAGCAATACACTAATATTTGCCAAGCTCCAAGTTCAAGTTTCATGCGGCATATCAGTAATCATTCAGAATTTATTGAAGCAGATTAGAAAACTCTCAACTCCAAATGTGTGTGCAGATGACATGTGACCATCAGATGATGGAGAAAAAAGATAAAAAGGCAGTGTGAGGAAATCACTGTTTACGCATTGAAATATGTACAAATAAAATCTTCCAGTAAACCAGCTAACCACTTTGACGGATGTTTTTAGATTTATTTTTATTTGCTCCCACGTACTCTTTTCCCCACTGCTGTTGTATCTGAAATAATGAGGTCAATGATGGAGGTTATCACACACACTGCATGACAACATATTAGGGGGCCATAAATTTATGAACGCACAAATGTAATTTACACAATCGATGATTTTTTTTGCCAGCAGTCCCTCCGGCTTTCAGCGGCTGCGGCTGTCCTGCTCCTCACTGATATAATGTTGCGGTACTCCTCGTATTAGCGTAAAACAATGCTCTGTTCCTCGACTGTGAAATATGACATGCAGCCTTCTTCAATGTGGAGATTGGTCCAGTGGCACTGACCCCACCCCCTTTACATGTGCGCGCACAGATCTAGACTGACCACAACTGAATTTAGTTAGCGAGTTGATATCCTGCCTCGTAGTACATCTGATCGGGATTACTGAGATCTGGTGAAGTTGCACGAGTTGTGGCAGAGTTATCGTGGGTGTGTTAATCCAGCTTCAAAGTGCAGGCCTCTGGACCACATACACAAACACACACAGAGTTAAATTTTTGTAAAAAAGGGAAATAAAATGTTCATGTTCATGTTTGAAATGTTACTAAAATTTGGTTTTAATATAAAATTTGCATGAAATTAATTGTTCATAGGTCTCTTTAAATTGATTTTTAATGATACAAGGTCTTCAGGTCATTTGGCGCCACCACCAATCATGTGGTGCGACCAATAATAACATTAATTATATCAAATACAAACTAAAATATCTCATTTCTGTAACTGAGACATTAATACCTGATACAATATGCTTACATGAAAGGTAGTTTCAAAACATTTTATCAGTATTATGCAATTTAAAGAAAAAAATAGTCAGTGAACTACATTTGATATGGCGACTGTGACATTATAGAGCTAATATATGAGATCACTATTTACAAAAACTCAAATAAAATGCAAACGCTTTGTTCCTATGTTCTTGATATTACCGAAAATTTGTAAAAAACTATGGAGTATGTTGAAAAAATGTAATAATTCTGAGATAAATGATGGTCGCACCACATGACATTTTTTAAGGCCACAGGCAATTCATCTATATGAAAAAACACTAAAATTGCCTAATTTATAAATTAAACTTTAATTTTTGTATACATAACATCCTTATTGTTTGAAGTGTTGCAAAAGACATTCTTATTTTTGGTATTTTAAAATTGGCATGTTGAAAAACCTTATACGTCATTGACCCACACAGGTATTTAGGACATTTCAAGTAATTGATTCAACTTCAACTTTACACATTTTCCCTCACAGCATTATGTGTTTCAAGTGTTTGGTGCTGTCTGGTACTAAAGATCAGGTTCACAGATACAGGTCAGGTTGAACTGGCTCTTAGTTTAATTATTGAGAAATTACAAGGAAGAATCAAGAAGATGCAGTAGACACCCCAAAAACAGTGTAACCATGCAATACAACTCTCAAACACTACGGCTGTAAACTATTAGGTTTAACTTGTTAACTATTTGTTCCTGTCATGTCAATGCAGTATTAACCAGTTTAACTGTACATAGAACTGTTTAAGGTGGTTATCTATCAAGACAAGGTGTTTTCATGTGTTGTTTCACTTAAGCAACTACAGGCACACCCTCCAGACCCTCTAAAAGTGCTTCCCATTGTGGAAAAATGCCACACCTAAAGAGCTACAAAACTTACGATTTCAATGGTGACTTACTGACAACCTGACAACTCTGGCCTAAATATATAATTAAAACATAGAGATGTTTTTTTTGCTTCTTGTATTTCAAGTTAATTTAGAGCGTCTATACTTTCAGATTAGCGCACCTCGCAACAGCAGTTAACTCTGACCACAATTTTTGCTAGGATTTTGTCTATTGCTGTCCTCAGCCACTCCTGCAAAATGCTGTCGAACAATGTTGTCTAAAAATGACCTCTAAACATATCTGTAATACCAGCTCCGCCCGGGAGTAATGATTATAGCATCAGCTGCTAACTTTAGCACAGGCTTTGCTAGCATGAAGCTAACCTTTACGGGTAATTGAGGACGTTCCGCTGTACCCGTCAACACCCGCAATTCCTCTGACAACTAAAACCGTATTTTAACAGTATTTCCGCAAATAAATGATAGTATGGTGCAATAAGACGTTAGGTGTATATTTACCGATAGGAAACAGCAATGTAAAGTTGAGCTCGTTGTTTTCGGCTCAATTCAGCTGCCAGGAGGGTCCGTCAACACCCCACTGACGCAGCAGAGAGGAGGTGGGATAGAGAGAGAGAGACGAGAAGGCATAGACATAATAAAGAGTAGACCCCGCTGGGGGTGCTGCGCTGCGAGAAATATCTTGAATGTCCCAGTATTCTTGCCATACTTTCTTCATATGTTTTTTGATTAGTGATTTACCCTCTGCCTTACTTAACGGAATTTCTGTATTTACATTGTGTGATTTGAGTGTTTGTTTGGCCAGAAAATCAACTTCTTCATTCCCTTCTATACCTACATGGGCAGGAACCCAAATAAAACACACTGATAAACCCCTCTTGTAAATTGTATAAAGTAGATTGTGTATTTTATATATGAGTTCTTGCCTACATGACTTCATGGTTTTGATGCTTGTAAGAGCTGCCCAACTGTCTGATGCTATTAGTGTATTGTTTTGATTGTTTGCTTCTATCCATTCCAAACCAAAAGATTATAGCAACTAGCTCAACTGTATATACTGATAGATGGTCTGTGGTTCTTTTCTTGATATGTGTTTTGTAGTGTGGAATGAGAACTGCAGCTCCTGTTCTTCCAGTATCAGGGTCTTTTGATCCATCTGTGAAAATCCATATTTTATCTGAAAAATGTTGTTCTAGGTACCTTTCAGCTACTCCTCCCGCAGAGACCTGCCTATTCCTTTTTTCCAGTTGTTGCTGTAATTGAAAGTTTACTGATGGTTCTATGAATAACCAGGGAGGAGTAATTGAATATGGGACCGTCGGACTGAATTGTATGCCACCTAATCCTGCTTGTACTGCTTTTATGTTTCCTATCCAGCCAGAACTCCTAATATTTGATTCATTATGTTCCCAACAGTCCTCCAGGATGGCTTTAGCAGGATGTGAAGTACTATGCCCTTGAAGATTGACCCAGTATGCTAACATAAGTTTCATTCTCCTGATGCGTAATGGTTGTTCCCCCGTTTCTACTTGTATGGATGCTACTGGAGAGGATTTAAAAGCTCCACTGCATATCCTTAGTCCCTGTGTCTGCTGTACATCCAGCTTTTTCAGGTGACTTTCTGCTGCTGCTAGATAGCCTATACAACCATAATCTAGTGTTGCTCTCATAATGGCCTGATAAATATTTATCAGTGATGCTCTGGTTGCACCCCAGTGTCTTCCTGAGAGGCATCTTAAAAGATTATTGACTCTTTTACATTTATCCCTCACTTTGTCTATGTGTTTCCTCCAAGTCAGCTTTTCATCCATCCACATTCCAAGCAGTCTAACAACACTGACCTGCTCAATTTTTTGACTGTATAATTTCAGGGAGATTTCTTTGTGTCGTTGAGAAAAGCATATTCCTTGTGTTTTTGCAACAGAAAACTTAAAAGCCCCATTCATCTGCCCATTGTTCCACTGTCATAATTGCTGCCTGGAGTTTCTTTTGTATATATGTAAGATTCCGCCCCCTTATCCATAATGCCCCATCATCAGCATACAGCGACTTTCCTATACCTCTTTCAACCTGCTCAAAAATGTCATTGATCATGATGTTAAACAAGATTGGACTGCAGACACTTCCCTGTGGTATTCCATTCTCTACTTGATATGTTTTAGAATATTCTGAACCCACTTTAACTTCTATTGTTCTTCCTAACATGAAATCTAATATCCAGTTGTATAGTTTTCCATTTACACCTAATCTAGTAAGTCTGATGAGTAGTCCCTCCTTCCATAACATATCGTATGCTTTCTCAATATAAAAAAATACTGCGATCACCATTTCTCTATTGGTCTGAGCTTTCCTTATTTCTGACTCTAAACATAACACATTATCCATTGTCCCTCTTCCTCTTCAGAATCCACTTTGATGATTTGAGAGAATGTTTTTGCTCTCAAGAAAATATGACAGTCTCTCTGTTACCAACCGTTCCATAGTTTTCCCTAACTGCGATGTTAATGCGATGGGTCTGTAGCTGGAGGGATTAGATGAATCTTTATCTGGTTTTAGTATTGGTATTATGACTGATTGTTTCCATGTCAATGGCAGTTTGCCTGTGTCCCATATGTTATTAAACAGTCTTAATATTACTTCAAGTGCACCATCCGTCATATGTGCTAACATGCTGTAACATACATCGTCTTTCCCTGGTGAAGTTTGTCTTGCGTTAAATATTGCTCTCCCCAGTTCAAAAAAATTAAATGGTAAATCTAGATCTCCTCCTGACAATGTGCTTCTTCTTACTATACCTCCTATATTTTGTGCAAGGGTGTTGTCTCTACACTGTTTAGCTTTTACTGATAACTTTTCCGAGCTGTGGATTTTAACAAATGTCTTCGCTAGGAGCTCTGCCTTATCTGCAGTACTTATTGCTGTTATGTTATTGTTATGCAACACTGGTATTTCAAGGTTACTTTTTATGCCGTTCATTTTCCTAATCATGCCCCATACTTCTGCCAGCTGTGTTTCTCTCCCAATTTTATTGCAGTATTGTCTCCAGTATGTCCGTTTTGCTGATCTTATTGTTTTTCTAACTATTGCTTGTGCTCTTTTGTATTGGATCAATGTATCTATTGTGTGGTGAGCTTTCAACTGTCTAAATGTTCTACTTCTCATTTTAATTGCTTTGCTACAGTTGTCATCCCACCATGGCACACTCTTTTTCCGCTTGCTTCCTCTTCTCTTTGGGATAGTTTCTTCGGCTGTCTTTATCAATGCTGTTATCACTTTTCCATTCATTTCCTCTATATCTGTTACATTCTCTTCTAGCAATTTTACACATCTGTTGTCACTTTTTATTTGGCATGCATCCCAGTCTGCTTCACCCAACTTCCACCTTGGTGTCCTTGCTCCCCCCTCTTGATGTATATCTATTCCAATTTTGATCATTACTGGGTAATGATCACTGCCTACTGTTGACTGATTTAAGACCTCCCAATTACTAACACCTGCAATTGTAGTGGATGTGAGTGTCAGATCGATTACACTCTCTGTGTTCTGTGAGCTATTGTACCTTGTACCTCTTCCATCATTAATACACACCAAACCCATATCATCTAAAAATTCCTCTATTACTGTCCCATTTGTATCTGTACTACTGCTCCCCCATAATGTGCTGTGTGCATTAAAGTCCCCACACCATATTACCTTCCCTTGTATTGGCCCACTTGCTTCATTTAATATATCAGTGCTCAGCCTGTTACATGGATTATAGTAATTTACTATTGTGATGCTGCTCTTTTCTGTCCATATCTTGATTACAATAGATTCTTGTTCCTTTCCTATCTTGACTAAATTATAGTTCAACCCATTTCTTATAAAAGTTGCCACTCCTCCACCTTTACCAGTGTTCCTATCGTTCCTTACTGCAGTGTACCCATTCAAAACAAAATCCCATTGTGGTTTTAACCATGTCTCTTGAATAGATATTAAATGTGGTTTGTCTGACAAATTTGACACAAACTTTTTAAATTCTTGACCATTAGAGATAAGACTCCTTGCATTCCACTGCAAAATAATTAAGAACATGAAGATCCACCAGCCCATGTCTGAGAGTTCGATGTTTCTCCAGTTAGCATGTCCTCTACTGCTTCCCTGCTTATTCCCTCCATTCCTAGATATTTCTCAGCTGCTCTCACTATGATCTTAATCTTTTCAGTTTTCCTGCTTGTTTGTGCTGAACAATTTATCACCTCAACCATGAACAGCACAAATTCATTTTTGCCTACCATCAGCATGTCTTCCTTTATGTCTTGTTTAGCACATCCTCCACAGGGTCTGCTGCTGCTCTCTACTGCCACCCTTTTAGGGGCATCTGTTTGCTTTACTTTTTTCACTGCCTCTGCATATGAAATCCCCTCTGAGATTTTAACTCTCTGCACCTCAGCTGCTTTTTTGCTCATTTCACAACCTCGATAAGCTGAAGTATGCTCTCCTCCACAATTGCAACATTTAAGTTTAGCTCCTTCTTCACATTTGCCGTACTCATGCTCGCCCGCACATCTACTGCATCTTTGCTTGCCTTTGCAGATTGCTGCTACATGACCATACTTTTGACACTTGAAGCATCGCAGTGGCGGCGGGACATATGGGGCTCTATTTTCGTCCGCGCCGGTGAGGCGGCGGAGGGCGGCAAGCCCCGCGCAGTTGTATTTTCGTCTGGCGGAGCCCAGCGTAAGGCCAATTTGGTATTTTCGTGGCATGAGCCGCACAGAGGCGAGCCGAGATCCGCCAAGCTGGGCGTGGTGGCGTGGCAGGGGGAGGTGTTGACAGAATCAGCAGGCGCAGTGACATTTTCGTGCTCGCCAACGGCGTGTAAAGTGCGCTGAAAGCTCGCCGATTCAAACCTGGTCAGCTTTCAGCGCAAGGCGGAACGCAGCTGGTCTTGTAGTATTTTGGTAGACCGGCGGCGTATCGACATACGTCACTGATGCCTCACCGGCAGGTTTCCACAGTGTCAGGCAGATTTCAGTGCAATAAATAATCATCATCAACTATTAATCTGAGTCAGCACATACATTTAGATCTATATAGATATATTCTGATCTATATCTGATCTGATGAGCGCGTTTGGCACGCGTTTGGACACACAACCTGACCGAATCAACACAGCTGAGACCGCATTAAATTAAATTAAATATCTAGTAAATAAACACAAATGATGAAGTTAACTAGATATTTAATTTGTCTCCCTCCTTTTCTTTCTTCCTCTTCCTCTTATTTCTCGCACAGCTCGACCTGGATATGTGTCTGTGTCCTCTCTCTGTGCGGCGGCGGCTGAACGGATGATTTGTTTCAGTGCTCAGATGAGTTATTTACTTTAAGCCTACATACGAATATTATAATATTTAGTTTTGTGAACCAAATTTATTTTATATGCCAACAGCTATGAAAGAGAGAGCCATGAGGCCAAGGAGCATGATGCGTCATTACGCACAGATGGTTGTGATTTTAATGCCATTATTGGAATTTATGGTGTGATCTGTGCGCACAACTCATCTTTGTCATATGGGATTTAAATATATGCAGCACATACATTTAGATCTACAGTACATATTGATGTATATCTATAGGAGCGCGTTTGGCACGCCTAATTGCCACTCCACCTGACCGACTAACACAGCTGAAACTCTGATGCAAACTAACTACTTCACGTCTCTCTACCAACCACAAACAGCTTCGTCATCACAGAGAGAGTATATATTTGGCATGTCATCTCAGAACACTGAGAAAAGAATCAACGCACACTGAAGCAAAGTAAGTTATGACCGTTGTTCTCAAGATTTACATGCAGCATGTGATCTCACAGCTACAAATTTAATAATTTCCATGCTTAACATTATCTACAAAGATGGAGTACATAATTGCAAGGAGGTGGAGGAGGAGGAGGAGAAATTACAGAGAGAGGGTGATTCATCACAGGGCATCATATTTAACCTTAACAGAGCAGGAATGCAGGTGGGCCACATGGATAACGCCTCCAACACCGTGTTCAATACAACTGCCTTTTAACAATCTACTATTTTCCTTGACACAGGACCAAATTACACCTGCCTCGTGAGGTGGTCCACGCGATCACACGGATTGTGGCCTCAGATGCGGACCCCGGTGGCCCATGCGCTCTCCCAGTTGCTGTGAGGGTGACAGCGGCTCTGACTTTCTTCGCCACCGGGTCTTTCCAGCATACCGTGGCTTCGGTGGTAGGGATAAGTCAGGCCGCTGTCAGTTTGGCCATACATGCAGTGTCCACCAGTCTAGTCCGACACGCAAATGAGCACATCATTTTCCCATCATCACCTGCAAGCCAGCTGGAAACGAAGCGAGGGTTCTTGTTGAAATATGGATTCCCTGGGGTCCTTGGAGCAATTGACTGCACACATGTGCAGTTGCGCGCACCAGAGACCCAAGCCCTCATTTATGTGAATCGTAAGGGAGTCCACTCCATTAATATCCAGGTGATTTGTGACTCAAATTGCCTGGTGACAAACGTGTACGCTAATTACCCCGGGTCTGCACATGATTCATTCATCCTGGCGAATTCTATCATCCCTACAGTCTTTCAGGGGGACACCCCTCTGGATGGGTGGCTGCTAGGTGATAACGGCTATCCACTGAAAACGTGGTTGATGACGCCATACATTACACCTTCAACAAGACAGCAACGTGTTTTTAACAGTGTCTTCAACAGTGCTAGGTCAGTCAATGAACGTACTTTTGGAATCCTCAAAATGCGTTTCAGATGTCTGGACCGGTCAGGTGGTTCATTAACATACAGCCCGCAGAGTGTCGGTGCATTCTTTGTGGCATGTTGTGTTTTACACAACTTAGCTATACGCCATGGATGCCACTACGACCTCGCCGAGGACACATTACTGGACTTTAGACAGAGAGAGGCCGAATTGCATGTGCCATGTCAGCAGGGAGAGCAGCAGAGCGCGCAGGTGAGGAGGGACCGCCTCGCAGCACAGCTCTGCCCTTAAGTGTGAGTATTTGCTTTCATTCATTTATACACTTTTTGTAATTATCCACATTAAAACATCCAATAAATAGTCAAACATGATTGCATTAACAAGTGTTTTTATTGTGTTTCTCCCCTCCCAACCCCCCTTCTTCTTCTTCTTCCTCCTCCTCTTCCTCCTCCTCCTCTTGGGTCTGGACGCTGCAGTTGGTCAGTCAACCCAGGGGGCCGCCCCCCTCTTGTGCGCGGCCTCAGCGGCCACCTGGGACAGGCGGGGGCGGATGATTCTGCTGGTGGCAGCAGCCTTTCGGCTACCTGGACCAGCCGCTGCAGTGTCGCAACGCCAGCGGCTAAGGGGAGCAGGCTGGCCTGGAGGACCTCCCTGAGAGCCTTCACCTGGGCCTCCAGCGACCCAAGCCGCGTCCCCATCGACCCCAGCTCCCTCTCCAACATCAGAAAACCAGCCCGCTGGGTGTCCAGGAAGGGCTGGTCCTCCCGCTGAACGCGGTTTCGTCTCCGACCCCGTGTTGCCGGCTCGTCTCCACGTCCTGCCCCCTCCCGCGTCTCCGGCACCGGCTCCGTCTCCCCCTGGTCCTCCTCCTCGCGGTCGTCTTCGTCCTCTCCCTCCTTCTCCTCCCCCCCGACCACCTGCTGCTGCTGTTCTTCCTCCTCCTCCTCCTCCTCCTCCCTTGTGGTCTGCTGCTGCCGCGACGGCGGCAATTCTGCCGAGGCTGACCAGAAATTTTATTTTAGTAAATCACAGAAATTCTTTTTTTAAAAATGTTAATACTTTCATTTAGAATAAAGAAGTTAGAAATTGTGTGAGCAAAGTTCATTTCAGATGCAAACATTAGCGGAAAGGGGGAGAAAATACAATCAGGCTTTGTTTGATCCGTCTTTACGCACAGGTGGTTCCGATTTCAATCCCATTACGCATGGCATTTTTTCAGATCACCTGTGCACACAACACACCTTAGTAACACGTGGTTAAATATACATGTTAGTGTCTTTATTTGTGGAAAAGAATGTTTGTCTTACCCGTGAGTCCAACCTCAGAGACACCAAACCCCTCGATACTAATTTTGGGGAGTGTGGAGGACGCCACGTCCTCCGCAGGGCTCAGCACCACACTCGTTGAGGGGCCGCCTCCGGTCGTTGCAGTCTGGCGACGGTGTTGGGATAATTTAAGTTTAGCCCGTCGTCTAACATCATTGAACCGCTTTTTGCATTGCGCAGCGGTTCTCAGCACGTCCGGGCAAACTTGATTGACAGCAGCACTTACCTCTTCCCAGGCTGCTTTTGCATCATCGACCCGTGGAGGTCTGTTCGCGTGACCGTATATCCGGCCACTGCGAGACTGGACCTCCCGGACCAGAGCATCAGTTTCCTCCTGAGAGAAGTTCGGCTGTCTCGCACTCGTTTCCATCTCGGCCATCTGTGAGTCTGCTGCACGAAAATGCCAATGCGCCTCGCCGACGGCGGATTTAAAGGCGAGGAGAGGCGGTTATTTGATTGGCGCAAATTGGACTCGGCTGTGTTAAACTCACTTCACACCCACTCTCCTTCCCCCCACGACGTATGCTGCTGGGAGGAGCTGAGTTAGGGAGGGGGGATACTTACGCCGGGCTGCGCGGCCCACCAAAATACCAAAATGTGCTTGGGAACGCCTTGTCAGCGCGGCGGATCTGATTGACGCTGCGCTTGCGGCAGATCTCCGGCGAGGCACCAAAATAGAGCCCATGGTCTCACCTCATAACTCATGTATCCTATGAACACTTTGCTCGGCAACCTGGGCTCGTCAAATGTGATCAATACGGACAGGCTGTCACATCTCTCTCCATTTCTGGTCGCTTTCAGCCGTCTGGCTTCCAGCACATTTGCACCCACCACATTGTCTTTTATCTGTTCTGTTGATACTATCGTAGGTATACCTGAAATGACTCCTCTAGTCGACTTCTTCCTATCTTCAGGAATTGAGCACTGCACTTTTTTACCATCAATCTTGTTTAGTCTTATGGCTTTTCCTTGTTGCACACTAGTCTTACAAAAGATCAACAATGAACCATCCCGCAGCACTTTGGCATTCTTTACTTCACCTACAAACTTTTGAATCGCCTTTGTTAACACGATTGGGTTCCACTCACCAAATGATGCACCATCCTGAGAAAGTTTGATGATTATTTTATGTTCCTCACTCTGCCTACCTATTGGTGATCCACTTCCCTCACTGTCCGTTCCTTCTGAGTTGTTTCTATCACTTTGCTGTCTTTCTTTTTTACGTTTTCTCCTATTTTTTTGGTCTCCTAGATTACAGTCATCTTTCCTCCCGCCATCTACTTCAATTCCTCCCATCTCACTTCCTGATCCGTCACTATCACCTGCCATCTCTGCCCATTCACAGTCCAGCTGTTCGCCAACCGCCCCGGAACCTCCGTGCTAGTGAAGGAGCTCCCCAAAGTTTACCAAGCGTCCCATACGCTCCGGTCAGTCATATTCATTCATTCATTCATTCAGCGATGCCGGAGCACTGTGCGGCGTATTCCTGTGCCAACAGGCGGACAGCAGAGAACAGGGCTCAAGGGATAACTTTTCACAGGTAGGATTAAACGTTTTTTCAACATTACACTTGACTGTAGAGCAGTGGCGGCTGCTGGTCTTTCAAGGAGGGGAAACTCATTTTTCTGGCCTACATCATAATTGTGTTTGTTTATTTGTATGTAACAGAACAGAGTCGCCAAACACAACGGCAGTCGTTTTTAACAAAGACAAAAGTCGCTGAGGATCGGTAAAGTCTCCGGAGCAGTTAAGAACAATGGAATGAATAACTTGGAAAATGCTTTGGTATATGCTTAATTCTTCAAGATCGCTGATTCGCTTATTTAGCTGTCAATCAAAAAAGGATTTCGCCTCAGACAGCACATCCAATCATGGATGCAGAAGCTCAGTGTCCGCGAGAAAGTTGGGACCGCCCTCTTGTCATAGAACTCCAGAGACGCTGAGCTTCCACATTGAAGTCAGCAGACGCTGAGTGCCCGGCTGTGTGAAGTGCTGAGGTGCTGCGAGGATGAATGAGAACGAAGTTGTGCCGGTTACCTGGGGTTATCAGCTTCTTATCACAGTGTGATAAGAAGCTGATTCTGAACAAAAGATGAAGGCTTTCTAGCGCGTATTTAGTTAATGAAATGAACACACAGCAGTATGTATTTCACCACTTTTTGCTTTTTTTGGGGGGTGACATTTTAAGGGAAGCTGAGCTTCCCTCTCACTCTTAGAGCAATCGCCACTGCTGTAGAGTCATTTGGAGGCCAAGGAGGAAGACTCTCGGTCAACTCCAAATAGAAAACAGCATTTGCAAACAGCTGGCTTTGTTCTGTGGATGACAAGCCTGGCCTGAACAAAATGATGTTGGATATGCTGGAGAAAAGACAGAAGGATGACCAGGCTAAATATGGGCGTGTTGCACTCATGTTAGATTCCATGGCCATAAGAAAACATGTGCAATATAATCCGCACAACCAGTCAATGTCTGGCTTTGTAGACATTGGTGATGGAAACAATGAGACTGATGTTGCTACTGAGGCGCTTGTGTTCCTGGTGGTTGGCCTTCAAGGACATTGGAAGGCTCCCATTGCATATTACCTGACGAAGACTCTGTCTCCAGACACACAAAGGGTCCTTCTCACTCATGCATTGGAGGAGCTGCATGCACGGGGTATTCAGGTGGTATGTGTCACAATGGATGGCCATGCTACAAACATCAGCATGTGCAATCAACTTGGTTGTGAGCTGAGGGGTAACCCACAAGAGCCACTTAAAACCAGTTTCCCACATCCGTCGACTGGTGACCAAGTATTCATAATGATGGACGCATGCCACATGCTGTAGTTGGCACGTAATATGTTGCAGGTAAATTATAAATGTTGTATACCTATTTGTACAAGTTATGTCTCTGCTACTAAAAGTTGCACATTTATTACTGGATGTGAAGATCAACATTGTGCTGTTTGTACTTGTTTGAGCAGTGACCAATTCTTTCTCTGCAGTCATACAGTCCGATTGCATCTACCAGTGGACAAATAAATTGGAGGTACATCAATCAGCTCAATGATGTGCAAAAAAAAGATGGACTGCATGCCACAAATAAAATTACAGACAAGCATGTCCACTTTGAGAACCACAAGATGAAGGTTTCCCTAGCCGCACAAACACTGAGTCGTTCAGTGTCAGTGGCTCTCCGCACAAAGCGAGATCTTGGGTACTCTCAGTTCAGAGACTATGAGGCAACAGCAGATTTCATCAAGGTAATTCCCTAATAATTCTGATTGTATCATAGGTTTTTTCCACAAATTTAAGGTTTTTCGATATTTAACTGACATGACATTTATATGCCAATAATTTTTTTTATAGATGATTGAAAGTCTCTTTGACATTATGAATGGACACAATCCTCGTGTCAAAGGATTCAAAGCTCCTTTCGATGCTTTGAATTTTTTTTTTTTTTTTTATTTGTGCAGTGTGACAATACAAGACATACAACATACAACAGCATTTGTGGTTTTGTGTGTGTGTGTGTGTGTGTGTGTGTGTGTGTGTGTGTGGTGTGTGTGTGTGTATTATATATGTAAATAATAATGAAAAAATAAAAAAATAAAAAAATAAATATTACAATTGTCAGACAAGCAAAAGAAAATAATAATACAAGAACAATATCAATAATAATAATAATAATAATAATAAGAAGAAGAAGAAGAAGAACAACAACAACAACAACATTCAATATTAATAAAGAAAAGCAATAATAATAATATGGGTGGAGGGGGGGTCTTGAAATTTGTGGACCACCTCGGGTCCCTTCCCACTCGCGCGAGACCTGCCTGGATCCCCCCCCCCCAACCCCCGCATGCCCCGGACTGAATGCGGCACAACACCTTGCCCTATTTCTATATATGTATTTATTTTGTGTTATTTACGTAATATACTTTATAATTATTTATTTATTTTTATTTTTATTTTTTAATTATTATTATTATTATTATTATTATTATTATTATTATTATTATTATTATCATCATTATTCCCCTTTTTTTTCCCTTTTAAATTTCTCTCATATATGTGTTTTCTAATGTTGTGCATTAAAACCTAGTGTGATGTGCAATAAAAAAAGGTGATGTGCCATCTGAAGACAGTCCAGGGCGGAGAACTGAGGGAGGGGGGAGGCCGGGAGGGCAAGGAGATCACAGGTCATGGCCTAACAGGCGCGACCCAGCAGGGACCCGAGCAGAAAATAATAACTGTAAATGTAAGTATATAAATAAATAAGTATAAATAATAATAATAATAATAATAATAATAGACAATGACAATAATATTCATCATAATTTTTGTAGTAATATGTAGTAAAAAACAATAATAATAATAATAATAATAATAATAATAATAATAATAATAATAATAAAATAATAATAATAAATGGATAAATAAATAAAATAAAAATAAAAAATAAAAAAATGGGAATGAAAGTGTCAGAGAACTGAGATGGATGATGTTGAATGATGTTGTGACTGGTTTGTGGCAGATTATAATTGTAGAAAAGTGATGAATGATAACCAGGTAGAGTTATGATTATTGTCAGAGGAGTTTGTATTTTCTAAGGAGATGTAGTCTATGAGCAGGTTTTTCCAGTGTATGATGTGTATGGAGTTCCGAGACTTCCAGTTCATGAGGATAGTTTTCCTGGCGACGGTTAGTGCCACTAGAAGTGAACGTGTGTGTGTTTTGTCAAGTTTTAATGTAGATAGGTCTCCTAATGAACAGAGGGAAGGGGAAAGTGGGATGTGGCAGCCCATGATCTGGGATAATGTTTCTGTAATGTTTCTCCAGAAGTGGTGAACAGGTGTGCAGTGCCAGGTTGCATGAATATAGGTATCAGTGCAGTTTAGTGAGCAGTGTGAACAGTTTCGAGATGATGAGAAGCCCATTTTTTTGCATTTTGTGTCCAGTCAGATGAGTTCTATGACGGATTTTGTATTGTATGAGTTGTAAATTGGCATTTGTCGTCATGGAGAAAATGTTCTTGCAGATTTGGGGCCAGAAGTCAGCATCAGGAGCAATGGAGAGGTCAGTTTCCCATTTTTCTGAAGGTATGGAGGGTGTTGAATCGGCCTGTGATAATAATTTGTATATTTTAGATAGAAGTTTCTTTGAGGAAGGGATGTTAATGAATTTAGAGGGTGACGGGGGGAGGTCTAAGTTTATATTCTTGTTTTTCATTGTTGATTGGATGGATGATGAAACCTGTAGATATTGTAAGAATTGATGGCTCCTGATGTCAAACTTCTGGACCAGGAGAGAGAATGGGATCAGGGTGTTATTGTTGAAGATATGTTTGAGGTGAGTAATCCCTTTCTCTACCCAGGTGCTGAAGTATAGTGATTGTTTATTGCTGATGAAGTCCAGGTTGTGCCAGATCGGGGTGAAAAGCGATGGTGCCAAAGTGGAGTTAGTAATGCTGTAGAATTTCCACCAGGCTGTCAGGGCCGATGATATTGTGGGGTTTTGGAAACAGGGGTGTTTTTTGATAGTTTGACTAAGGAATGGTAAGTCTGAGAGATGGATGTTTTTGCTAACTATTTGTTCTACGTCTAACCAAGTGCTATCTGACTGGGTGGGGTGGGTCCATTTGTAGATGTATTGAAGTTGATTTGCTAGTGAGTAATAATGAAAATTTGGAGCATTGAGTCCGCCTAAACTTTTTGATTTTTGAAGAGTGGCCAGTTTGATTTGTGGGGGTTTATTTTTCCAGTAAAATTTGTTGATGGATGAATCAAGGGAATGAAACCAGGTGAGAGGTGTATAAGTGGGAATCATTGAACAAAGGTAACTGATTTTGGGGAGGATTGTCATTTTAACTGTTGCTATTCTGCCAGTAATAGATAATGGGAGGTTCATCCATCGTTGGAGATCGTCATTGATTTTTTTTAGGAGTGGAGTGAAATTCAGGTTGATCAACTCTGACAGCCTGGGGGAAATGTGGATGCCTAAGTAGGTGATGTGACTTGTGCAGAAGGGGATGGGTGTTGTAAGGGCTGCCACAGCCAGACTGTTGGTGTTTAATGGGAGTATGGAGGATTTGTTCCAGTTTTCCAGCATCGGTGCTTTGAATTTGATAGAGAGGAAAGCATTTTTGTCAAGAGCCAGAGAGCACTTGCTCACTTTGGCGACAAAAGATGGAACACCCCTCCACCGCCCTAAGAGGTCTTTTAAAAAAGAAAGTTCGAGAAAGTTACTGCATGAGTTCATTGAAACAGTTCCAGTTTTTGTTCCATGCATCGTGTTCATAAGATGCCTCATTCTGTATCAGGTTCATATGATACAGTATATTTTCTTTTTGTTTTGTCTGCCAACATGATGCTCTTTAATTACAATGTTTTTCTGTCCAGTTGTATTTGTCCAAATTAACGTGTATTCAGTGTTTTTCAGGTCACAGATGCATATAAATTTAATTTTTCCCCCCAACATCGAGATTTGTAGGTGTCAAAAAGAGAGCTTGTATGTACGAGGGATGTTGTCGTTTTCTGCCACTTACCCGGGTTGCAGGGGCAGCAGCTTCAGGAGGGAGGTCCAGATCTCCGGTGGGATCCCCAGATGTTCCCAAGCCAGGCGAGAGACACAATCCCTCCACCTGGTCCTGGATCGGCCACAAGGTCTCCTCCCGGTTGGACATGTCTGGAACACCTCTTACGGGAGGCATCCAGAAGGCGTCCTGACCAGGGGCCTTATGTATCAACGCTTGCGGCGCAAGAAAACCTTGCGTACGCCAAAATCGGCGCACACGTCCAGATTTATCATCGCGAAACGAGCGTCGGTTCCAGCGCTAATCAACGCAAAGTCAGGAGGTGGTGTAGAAATTGGCGTCGAGCCGATACTTGCGTTGACTGTGATTCGCACTTTGGCGACGCTGTGTGGCGGTGTTTGGTGACTCACTATGTGACAAGCGTGCACCACATCCCTGTGGCCGAGCAGCACGTCGCCCAACATGACGAACCAGCAGCAGACGGAGGGATGCGAGCTGATCCCTGCCGGGCCGCCGTCCTCGCGCAGGAGAATCTCATCGCCACAGTGTGAATGGGTAAGAAGTGAATACACAGTTCAATGAGCCAAATTAATTTATTTTCTCCACCAGACGCTCAAGGACATTTACGAGCCGGTCCAGCTGCTCGTTGATCCCCGCGATCCCCCTGATGATTTCTTCCTGCGATTGCAGGACCCCCTCCGCGAGGACCCTTCCACTGCGTCCGGGTGGTCCAGCGGAAGCGCCGCGGCTGGTGGACGCTCCACCGCTTGTTGGCGCGCTGGTGCTGATGCTGGTGCTTGTGCTGGTGCTGGGGCCGGGGGCCGGGGTGGCCCGAATGCCGCTGGTCCTGGCCGACGACTCCGAGCCGGCGGACGGGCTGCCACGGGCCGGGGTTCCGCAAGCCGGCGACACGGCCGACACATTGATTTCTGTGACACAATAAAAATATTTGTTCATTTCAATTCCTGCTTCTGTGTATCTGTTGCGTTTACATCTCTCTCCACGGTATCATAGGTAATGTGATCCAGTATTTCGAGGTCAGTTATGCACATTACAGTTGTTTATTGCATAAAAAGTGATCGAAAAATGAAGTATAAACTTAGACTAGACGTCTAATATATGTCTTTTGCTCAGTGGAATGACAAAGCATGTGGACATTTGTGTGACACGCCACTTACCCTATAATAATAATCGCCACCACCCGCTGCTCAAACGGTGTGAGGGTCTCCTCCCCCGGACCCCCACCTGTCTGGCCAGTACTCCTCCGGAGGGCAGCTGTACGCCGCTTGACCTCCACAAATTTTTTTCAGCGTGACGGACCTTGCGTGCGCTCGTTTCTGGTATGAGTTCCACGCAAGTATTGATACATAAGGCCCCAGATGTCCGAGCCACCTCAGCTGACTCTGGTTAAAAAAAATTCTTTTCTGGTTAAGAAAAATTCAATCTGCAGTTTTGTTTCCATTTGAATTGTCTTGTATTAAGTGTGTTGCAGGTCCTAGATGCTTCTAAATGGGTATGCATTACACAACATGTACATGTAAGTCAAAATGGTAAGTATTGCATGTGTTTGTGCATGTGTTCTTGTTTTCAAGTTCCCAGAAACATGAATGCAAACTGATTTTATATCTGCTCTGGTAGCTGCTTTTCATTCTCTGAGTTTGCACCCAAGAAATACAACTTTTTTCTTTTGCAGGTACTTGTCTGTCATTGGATTTATCATTAACATCGACACATTGATGGTAATGATTCCAGAGCTCCTCCAAGTTCAGCGGTATGTCCTAACATACAGATTTAGCCAAGATCACTTGGAGCTAGTGTTTAATTCCATTAGAGCATCAGGTAGGATCTGTTAATTAAATGAATTCAGAAAATATACTTAACTAATCTTATGTCATGTGAGTAATGCATGTATTGTCTGCCTGTTTTACATGCAAGGTGGCTGGAATAATAACCCATCTGCGAGCCAGTTCCAGGCCATTTTCCGCCGCTTGATGGTTTGATGTGGTGTGTCACCAAGTGAGACTGGCAATGTTGCAGCCCAAGATGAGACTGTGTGCCTTGCTGCAGTAGAGATGTTGTCTCCAGAAACAGCTGAAGAACAGCCATCTCCATTTGCAAACATACCGGCCATTGTGACAGATCACAGTTACCTGCCCACTCGGTTCGGGGGGGCTGGTGGAAAATGCTCTTGTCTACATCGCAGGATTTGTGGTCCGGCAGATTCTACAAAAGCTGTCCTGTGATGTATGCTGTGCAAGCTTGGTGAGAGATGCTGTACCGGCATCATTTGATGAAAACTACCACATGCTGACACTGAAAAGCCGTGGTGGCCTTGTGATTCCATCACAAGGCACAGTGAAGGTGTTAAGAGCTGCAGAGAGGGTCATCTGGCAAGCATCAACAAGGCAGGCACCAAAGTTGTCAAATGTCACCTACATCGTCCGGGAGGAGGTTGGAACAGAGGACGTTTTTCAACTTGGGGAACACATTGCGGAGACACAATTTGGCATCGACAACCATCATTTCACTCTGTTGTCATTGGTTGTGTCTGTGTTTCTGAAAATAAGGCTACACCACATAGCAAAACTCACCTCTCTGGAGCTTCAGAAAGGGAGCACTAGGAAAAAAAACACCAAAGCAGTCCTCTTTCAAGGCTTTTAGGGCCTGAGCAAATTGATATGTAGTTAGGTGCTGTCCTGTCATGCTGTTCTTGTGTTTAAATTGAAAGTGTGCAATTTTTTTGATATGTAGGCTATATATTTGTGTGTATTTCTTTGTGTGTATTTGTGTGTATTTTCCAATTATTAAAATAGTGCCTCTATATGACATTATTTGTGTGTGTCTACAAATGGATCAAATCAATATATATTGAATTAGCCTATTAAACCCACCAGTTATTAATAATTATTGAGACATAGCAGGAACCTAGCTCTAAACCTAGATATATCCTTGATTAATTATTACACTATACCACAGCCACTGCTGCCAAGTTCTAAAGTAAGTAAAGTAAGTAAAGCCTGGTTCACACAGGAAGTGCCGCGCGCGGAACGGAAGCGCCCCGCACAGAGTTTCGGATCGGCGCCCGTGTTAACCTATGAGACTGTTCACACAGCTCGCGCTCTGAAGCGCGGCCGCTCTGCTTCTCTCTATTTTTGGCGCAAGCCGTGCGCGCCAATTGTAAAGCTGGACAGAGCAGATCGGACCAGACAGGAAGTCGGAACAGGACATGCGAGAGAATCTGGTCAATTTTCAAAATAAAATACATTTCAATAAATTAGAAAAAAAGGATTTACGGTGTTGCTTGTCGGTCTATTTTTTACCGATGAACACACACGAACACACACACACACACGGAGGGAGAGCTGCAGAGATTCAGTGATGTTATTGAGACAAAGGAGGGGGACTTTATTACGATACAGTCAATAGCCTCGAGCTAACAAGGCTACACATACAACACAGTCAACAGACTCCCCAATTTATTCGTTGTTTACCCCTATATAATAATTTAAAACAATACTTGAAGATGCTGCCAATATCTAATTTATGTATGACGAAATAAAAACGTAAATTAATATTGATTTACCCATTTTTAAAGCGCTCGTAAGTGTGGAAAACTGAGGGCAGACGGAAACGGCCAAGCACTGCCGGGCTCAGTCGATGTCTGACTGGCGTGTCAGAGCACAGCAGAAAACGCTTTATGTGTGAACAGCCAAGCGCGTGCCAGCGCTGCGCTTCCTGTGTGAACCAGGTGTCACACAGGGAGCGCCGCGCACTGAGTTTCGGATCGGCACCCATGTTAACCTTTGTGACTGTTCACACGCCGCGCGCGCCGCAAAGCTGGACAGAGCGGATCGGACCAGACAGGAAGTCAGGAACAGGAGATGCGAGAGAATCCGGTCAATTTTCAAAATTAAATATATTTCAATAAATTAGAAAAAAAAGGACTTACGGTGTTGCTTGTCGGTCTATTTTTTCCCGATGAACACGCACGCACGCACGCACACACACACACACACACACACACACGGAGGGAGAGCTGCAGAGATTCAGTGATGTTAATGAGACAAAGGAGGGGGACTTTATTACGATAGACTGTGTGAACAGTCACATAGGTTAACACGGACGCCGATCCGAAACTCGGCACGCGGCGCTTCCTGTGTGAACGAGGCGTTAGACCAACCACAAAATATTCATCATAAACTCGCACAGGGCACAGGGTTATGGAGCCAGATCAGGCTCAAAAGTATTGAAAAGTAGTGTAAGTGAAAAAATAAAAAGTGAAGTGGAAAAATAAGATTTGAACCTGAAAAAAATAAAATGGAACCTGAAAGTCTTGAATTTCGAAATTGAACTGAACTAGGCTGTATTGGCTGAATGAGATCGTGTCGGTTCGTTCCACTTTAGTGGTGCAATATAAACTGTGATTCATAAAAAAGCTCTATTGATAGGCGAACTGATACTTGCACACACGCAATCGAATATGCATGGGGTGAAGCGATTTTTGTCACGTGGACCAATAGGAGCCGAGTCTCATTGCCATAGTATCAGAAATACACAAATATGGCGACGACCGCATCTAGCAGCGAGACAAGCGAAGAGGAAGAAAAGGAACAAAAGAAAACAGCCTTCAAAAGTGCATAAAAATGGAACGAAACGATGCTATATGCATCTATCATCTGTCATCTGTCCAGAGTGAAGACGTTCTCGACTTTACAAGGACATATTTGGAAACTTACAGAACTAGTATTGGAAAGTGGCTTTCTCTACAGGGTGAGACAAATGACCTTGCAGAAACTTATAATGACAGATGATAGATGCATATAGCATCGTTTCGTTCCATTTTTATGCACTTGTCTCGCTGCGAGATGCGGTCGTCGCCATGTTTGTGTATCTCTGATACTATGGCAACGAGACTCGGCTCCTATTGGTCCATGTGACAAAAATCGCTTCACCCCCTGCATATTCGATTGCGCGTGTGCAAGTATCACTACGCCACAGAAGGGAAATAGTTCGACACCGAAACACTGATTACTAAAAATCGACAGGATGGCATGAGTAGATATTTTTTTTAGTACTTACCATCAATAGAGCTATTTTATGAATCACAGTTTTTGTTGCCCCACTGAAGTGGAACGAGATTCACTTTCTAAGCACTTTTTCCTCTGTCCC